CTCTAGATACTTGTTACAGAGTGCGCGCAGAAATTGAATGTAATGTAGTTCTGTCCGTCGGTGTTGGTGTAGTGCAGTGGGCGGAATCGCAGTGGGCATGAAGTGGCCGCTTGGATGTCGATCGTGCGCGTCCGTGGGTTGTCGTCTCTTCGTCTCTTCTCCTTGTGGACCGACCGGCGCCGTCAAAAAACCCCTCTTGGGGAAAAAGGCAGCCGGCCCTACGCGGGCTGGGCATCGCGTACATCGCCCGCACTCTCCCCTTGTCCCTGGTCGCGGACCCACTCCCCTCGCTCCTTCGCGAATCGTCCCGTCGTGTGAATGAACGCCACCGTGTGTGCGGCCATCGTCTCGTCTCCTAAGAGGTGTCCTTCGGTGTCCCAGTCTTCACCCGCGGCGGCTCGCAGTGCCTCCCTCTGGCGATCATAGGCCGGGCAGTCGAACAGGAAGTGGTCGACCGTTTCGTCGGCGTCGAAGCAAGCTACGCACAGGGCCGTAGGCGCCGCCTTCAGCTTGTGTAGGTGCCCGTTGAGTGGGGCATGGCCCACTCGGAGCTGGAACAACAACGAGTTAGAGTAGCGGGAAAAACGCGACGTACCGCGCATGAAGTTGGGCGCCGGCGCCTTCGGCGCGATGTGCTGGAGTCTGGCATATCGCACCGAGGCCTGCCAGTCCTTGTTCCATCTCTCCTTAATGCGACGCGTGTAGAGGTTAACGTTCTTCAAGCCCGCCTGGTTGACTGCTTGCCACGCCACTGTTCTCGCATAAGTGGGTTGTATCGTATCGTCAGCCTCGTTGCATAGCCGAGATGCACTCTCGCGACTTGCTAATGTTGTTAGCTTCGTAGCTCTTCTCTGGGCGACACGTAGGAGTGTTTCTGGTTCGTCCTGATGATTGCAAGCCATCCGGTGCACTATAGTCCGTGTCGGTTCGTGAACCGAGATTTTCAAAGTTGGTATGTGTCCATCTCCGTAGTCTACGGAGATAAGCTTACTTTCTGTCAGCACCGTCCTTGGTTCACTGCCCTTCTCCAATTCCAGAGCGGCGAACCCTCCGCGTATTGCATTCTTTCCCAAATCGTATAGGATGCGCTTTGTCACTTCCGCTCCACGGAAGGACAACGTCGCTCGCGCGATGTGACGACCACGGATACGCTTCCGATCCAGTAGTTCAGAGGGCGCTGGCATCGCTTCATATAAGAAGTCTACTCGTCGCGTCTCACAGATTCGTTTCTCCCGAGTATGCTTGGCTTCAAGAACTTCGCTGTAGTAGGGGCAGGCCTCCTTGGTGGCCCCATCACCGAAGAGCTCCTCAAGCTTAGGTCAAATGGAGCGATCGGCAAAGTCGTTCTCCTAACGCGCCCAGTTCGTACTTGGGGCATCGCTGGATCCTGTCTTCCTGACGAAACATAGCAATCCGCGTCGAAATATGAATCATTCGCCGCCCAAGGCGCAACCATCGTGCCCGTTACCGATTACCATTCGACGCCCGAGGTATCAAAAGCGCTCGCGGGCATCGACGTCGTCATTTCCACTGTTGGTCACGCAGCACTCTTCGATGTGCAGGTGCCAATTGCGAAGGCGGCCAAGGAGGCCGGCGTTCAGCTTTTTGTGCCATCGGAGTTTGCCTCACCCACGGATAACGCTACCGAGGGCTTCTTCGCCGCCAAAGCCGCGTTGGTCAAGCAGATACGTGATGATGTCGGTATTCCCACGGCCGTATTCTTCACCGGAGGCTTCTCAGACACCATATGGGGTCCATTCTTCGATCTGGACTTCAAGAGTGGTAGTGTCGGAGTAGGAGGAGATGGAAATGCGAAGGCCTCTTTCACTTCTCGCACAGACATTGCCCGCTACGTCGCATACGTGCTCACTGCACTCCCACCCTCGGAGAGCAAGAACAAGACATTCCGTATCGAGGGCGAGCGCGCGGTGAGTGGCGACTTCAGATGCATGCCTTTGAATATTCAAGTTTCCTGACGCGTTGCTGCATGTAGTCGCTCAACGAGATCTTCGCCGCATACGAGAAGAAGTACGGGGTGAAGCTTCAAGTCAAGTACACGTCCGTTGAGGAGCTTCAGAAGAGAGTGAAGGAGAACCCGCAGGACATCGTGAGCTTCTGGCAGAGCGTGATGGCAACAGGCGGATCGGCAGTTGGGTCCCCTTTGGACAATGGTTTGTTCCCGGACTGGAACCCCAAGCCTGTGATTGACTTTTTGTAATCCGCTGCCGGTATGACTAGCGTGGACCAGATAAGATGAATATTTAATACTCTTTTGTAGCATACCCAAAACTGTCCCTCATGAGGCAAGCGGTAGGACATTGCCCGCGTCAACGGTGCTAATGATCGTATCATCGGGTATGTTCGTGAAGAAGCTGGCCACGCTGGTGGCGTTTCCGACGTCTTGCAGCCCACACGTCTCGATGAAGTCGCCCGAGATACCTCCGCGTTCCTCAACATACTGCAGGAACTGGGTCAACGAGCAGGTTGCCCCTGGCCCATCGTCACAACCAGGAATAGGCTGAGGCGCCCTGTTCACCTGAAGCTCATTTCAGCTGCCGTTCACACGTCTGAGATCGATGAAGATGAGGAACATACACGAATGCGAACGTAGTGTTCTGCGCCGCTCCCAGTACCAGGAATGGCGTTCACTACACCCGCCTCATGGAACACAGTTTCATTGAGTGGCGCTTCGCAAGCAAGACGCTCGAGAGCGATGTGCCCGCGAAACGAGACGACATGTGAAGCACGGAAGAGGCGACGCGAGTCCGGTGCAATGGGGGACAGCGGCGAAGTCGTAGAATCATTCCAGATACCGAGTGCAGCAAGAACAGGCGGAAGGTTATTATCATGCTGCGATGACGTCAGCCTCTTGAGGTTCAGCGCGGTGAGCCAATACGTACGGTGAAGCCCATAAGAAGAGGCCCAGGTGAGAAAGTTCCATTAGTAGTCGTCGAGTTAGGCCCTACCTCGAAGAGGTCTGCAACAGCCTTCACCCATGGAAAGCCAGTAGCTGCCGCGATCGGGTTACCCGCGCCGGGCGCGTAGTAGTAGTTCAGGTCGTGAGCATACTCGTAGTTCAACCAGTCATTCTCTACCAAGTGAAAGGTCAGTCGAGAGATGCAAAACAGGCTCGAGGAGGTTATCTTGCCGGTGAAGATTTTACAGAAGCGAGTGTCTCCGTTGAGCGCAGCTTGGAAGCCGCACAGATCGCCCATGACACCGACGTCGTCCTCATTGAGAACAAGTCCATCCAGGAACTTGTTCAAGCGTTCAGCCTGGCCAGTTCTGTATGATGCGCGGAAGTCGTTGACGATGGTGCTGTTCGCGCCGCCGGCGTAGTTGGGGCAGGCAGCGCTCGGCGTAAGCGAGTTGGCGAAGGTGTAGTTGACCGAGTCGGGCAAAGTGATGATCTACCGCACACGTCAGTGGAATCAACGGAGATACAGACGCGTCATACTTACAGTTCCCTGATTCTCATCCGTAAGCCCGATGTAGTTGCCCTGTGACAGATACCCCCGCACGAAGTAGGTGGCTGTATCCACGACCCGCTGTTGCCCAGCGCTCCTGCACAAGCACGGTTAGAGAAAGAATCCTCTGTACGACCACATACGCACCAGACCGTCACATTGCTCCCTCCGGGAGTGAACCCATACTCTTCGCGAAGTTGTGCACCAAGATTGAATGCCTCGCGCGCGCCGTTGGCAGTAAGAAAGAGCGGCTCGTGCGGGACGTCATCAACAGGGGGAACCCAAGAGGGCAAAAAAGTCAAAGGGCCAGACGCAGTGAACGTAGCGTTCTGGATTTTCCAGTACAGGCTTTGCCATCCTCCAAAGGATCCGGGCTCGGGGAAGCGGCTGGGAAGCAGGTCGCGTGAGTAAATGCGCTGCGCCGTCAACACTAACAAACACGCACCTGCCATGACGCACCAGATACGCCGCTTGGTCAACGACGCATCCGTCCGGCGTCTCGTAGCCTAGATCATCCCGAACAGGCGCGTCAAAGTACGGGGACGCAGGACCCGAGTGGTGTAGCGGATTGAACTTCGCCTGCGCGATGGGCGTCGCGAACGTGAAAGCTGCGAGAACCCAGAAGACCATCGTACAGACACCGGGAGTCCTTGGTGCGCGAACTTTTGAACACCACTGTGGCGACACTTTTGTACCGCAGCGGTATCGAGCGGATCAAGGAACGTCGGCACGCGATAGCGACGATATCCAGGGGAGGGAGAAGCAAAGCTGAGAGAACGTGCATTGTGGCCCGGAAGCTTGTCACATGCACGTTCGTCTTGAGGGCTAGCGCAAGATTCGTATTTGCGGTATATCGAGCGCTCACTTTCAGTAGTTCAAGAAAATGATACAGTGAGCAGTTTCAATACATGTACATCTTGAAACCCAGTGGAACGGGGGCAGCGTGGCATCTTTTACGAGTTGATCTCCACCGAGAACGAGTGGATGTTCAAGTTCGCGGTGCCGACAAAGGGCTCCGTACCGGTCTGGATGGCCTGGACGTACTGCGGAGGAAGTCAGTATCGCAAGCGGCAGGTTCACAAAGGCACCCGAGCAGTCCGGGTACAGAGAGAGATCGACGCACCTGCGTGGCGGCGACGCCCTGCTCCTGGACGAGGTAGTCTGGGAGAGCGTTGAGTGAGTATCTGTATCTGTATTTATGGCATGCGAGACTCACCGAAGAACTCCTTGAGGTCGACGTTGAAGTCCGTGAGGTCGCCGGTCGAGGAGACGAAGCTTAAGACTTCCCAGTTCGAGTTGGGTCCTGAAGCGTCGCGGTTCAGTACGCCTCCGTCGCTACTCTCTGAGGGCAAGGATATCCTCACCCTTCCAAAGGTTCCAAGTGTGGCCGGCTACAGGGGTGGCAGTGGTGATCTGAGAGCCTACGGGCTGGATACTGCGCCGAATAGCGTCAGCCGAGCTCTTCAAAACGAGGGCAATGAACTGTGACGAACCCGCCCTTGCCGGACAGCCAGATCATACTGTGGAACCTTCAGTTAGGGATATCATCCACGTGATAGTCCAAGGCGGCGTACATCTCATAGGAGGAAGCGCTCGAAGCCGGCTCGCCGCTCTGTGCCGTTCCGAACCCTAAGGAATAGAAGCTCAGCGCTCAAAGCCCGTCATTGTCATCCAGTTCACAAAGGAAACCTCACAGATGTCGTAGCTGACGTCCGCACGGATGCCATCGGAGATCTTGTCGTACGACCACGACCAAGCGGTCGGCGCGGACTTGATGTTCTGGAGCTGTACGCCCTTGGCTGTGTTGTGCTCAACGTTCGCGTCTAAATGCTCGCGTAAGAATCACATCGGCATGAGCGCGGGGGCATCGACGCACAAGACTTGACGCTGTTGTCGCTGTTCGCCCAAGTCCAGTTCGTGAACCTGTAGCCGATTCACTCAGCATCATGGCACCGTTCTTCGACGACAATGAGATGCCTTACCAAGATACCTCGTTGCCGTTTGTACTGACGAGCGTAGACGTTTGACTGCCAACGCCTGCAAACTCGCCCCACAAGTTCTGGCAGAGCGTGAACGCGCCCGCGGCCTCGCAGGTGTACTGCCCCGAGATCTCCTGTGCGGAGACGATGCCGGCCAGAGCGATGGATGCTGCGAGTAGTGATTTGAGTACGGCGGGCATGATCTCTTGTCACTGATTGGTGATGTGGCTTAAGGAGTGGGTGGGTCCGCCGTTATAAGGGTGGAACGCACTCTTTTCGGATAATCTTCTGCTCGACTAGATGGTTACGTCGTTCGTCATCGTATACAGCCAAGAAGGTTTAGAAGCGGTGGCGAGGCGAGCTTGATGTCCGTTTCGCCGAACTTCACCGTCATATGCTAGCATAGCGCCACACGCTGACGGCCATTCGCGATGAGAGCAATCGACACATGATTGACAGGACAGGATATCAGATAAGACAGGTCCAGGGTATAGTGTACAGTAGTCGTGTCCGCGAATCCACAGCGACAAATATGATATCTGGAGATCATCAGTCAGTCTGATCCTCTGCAAGATGCGACGGCGATGCACACTCACAATGAAGGAAAAGGCGCCGCGGCAATAACTTCGGCACCGCGCGGAAAAGTAGGGTGAAGTCCACAGTCACAAGATGGCGAACGAATGGAGCGAAGGATGAAGACGGCTTGAACATCGGTAGAGAAGGAGGTGGGGATGTGCACCAATTGCAAATCATAACTCCATTGGCGTCCCGATGGTTCATGCGTCCATACACAGCTTGAACGTCGGGCGCGCGCACTTGATCACACCTGCGCCGTGATCTCCTGGCGCGCCTCTGGTTCGTGCTTCTTTCCCGACGCTCGTAAGCGCCAGAACGACAATCCCGCACGCCGCTTGCTCTTCGGCTCCCCACCGGCCAACGCATGATGCCCAACGATGCTCTCCCGCTTCTTTCTCCTCCCGTTTTTGCCCTCTTTCCCCTCCTCCTTGTTCTTCTCCCGTGCCTCTCCATTCTGAGGACCGTCTGTATCATCACGGCTCGGCCGCTTGTTCTCCCCACTTTTTCTACTCGCATCAACGGTGAACATCCCCAATACGCTCGCCCAGAGACTATTGGCGTTCAACCTGCTCGGTTCCGCAATGACCGCTTGATCGGCCACCAGTGCCAAAGCGCGAGCTTCACGTGTATCGCGTCGGGCGACGATGGATGATGGTGGCGGATGCTCGTCGCTGTCCAATGCCCAAGCGAGGGACCAGTTCGCTCCTAGGATCGCTGCATTCAAGGCGCCTCCTTCTCCGTCGGCCTTCCCATCACTCTTCCTCCCCTTGCCCTTCTTCACTTCTCCCTCTTGAGACTGCCTCTCCAAATAATGCTGCAACCTAGCCAAATGCGCCGCACTGCTCTCCGGCACCTCTTTTGCAACTCTCATCCTCTTCTTCCCGATGCGTTTGATCTCCCTCTTATACTTCGCATCCATCTTGGCTTTGCCGTCCATGTAGCGGACGAGCGCGGCCTCTGGAACCACTCCGACTTGCTCTTCGGGTACGGTGAATGCCGAGAGGGTGGATTGGGGTTCGAGGGGGCGGACGACGCCGGATGTTGAGATGCGTTCACGGATCATGGGTGCTGGAGGGTTCGGCCAGGGTGGGTTGGATTGAGTGTAGACGATGTTATTGCCAGCAAGAACGTCGGACGGCGCGTGCGGTGCACTGTGTTTGTGTCGTGGACCAGCAACGTCTTCGGACGGCTCCTTCCTTGGTACCGCAAGTGGCAGAGTCGGAGGTGTCGGTTGATTGGCCTGTGTTGGAGTGACGGTGGCGATGGGTGAAAAGGGTGGGCCGTTCGCGGTGGGTGATGAGGGTAGCTGAGGTTCTCGAGGCGACTTCGGATGCGGAGACCTCGACCTCCGCCTCAATGAAGCCAGACTGCTCGACAACGACAACCTCGACATACGTTCCCTCAACGGTCTCACATCCGCGTTGCTCGCATCGAGTGACTTGGCCCTCTCCAGTCTCTCCACCTCCGAGTCGGACGGCTGTGTAGCGGACGACACGGCCGTCATAGGCGTCGGAGGCTGACTTGGAAATTTTGGTGCGGTTTCGGAGGTAGGGGACGCAACGACCGGTTCGTCTTGGAGGATGGTTATGTCCGGGGGTATCGAGTCAGAAGACGTGGAGGGGCGTTGACGAGGGTCGGTGGAGTAGACTTGATTGCAGAATGTGGCCATTGCTCTGAAGCAGTACTTGGCAGGCGTGGTGAAGGGGAAGAGGACAGGCAGTACATGTGCGGCATCTGTACCAGTATATGTGTTAGCTGCCATGTACACGACATGAGGCGCGAATAGACGTACCGTCGTAAACCTGCAAATGCACCGGAGTGGGCACCATGTTCTCCGGCGCAAGATCCTTGAATCTCGGATACACATCCACCACCTCTTGCTTGATGGGAAATTTAGCCGGGTCCGCCGCCCGATGGGCAGTATAGATCCCTTCATCCCTCAACACCTCCCTATCGCTCACAATCACCAGCAACGGGCAGAGGCCACCTAGATACGATAGCGCGGCGCTGACGAGCGGGTGCCGAACAAGTGCGTTGGGGCAGTAGAGTTGCAATTGGGAGTGGATTTCGATCTTGGGCTTCGAGGGGTCGTTTGGGTCGTCTATTGTTACCGTCTGGTCGCCTGTGCCGCCTGCACTGAGGGGTGGGAGCTCGACCATTGACTCGGAACGATGTGGCGGGGCTTGTCGTTCTTGTGCGATATTCGTATCGACGTTGATCCCACTGCCTTTCCTGCCATGCCGATGAAACGCAGCGCGCACGCTTGCTCTCAATCCATCTCTGACTCTCGCGTTCACGCCGTCTGGCGGAGGAGGCCACAAGCTAGACGGTTTGTGCAAGCTTAGTCCTGTGGCAGGGATGACGTCCGTCGTGGTGTTTTGGTAGATGGAGGGGAACGAGTGTGTGAGGTCACACCAGGGCGAGACGAGGATGCCGCCGGCTGGTAGAGGTAGACCGGCGTCGCGGATGACCTGTAGAAGCGCGGCCGTGAGTCCGCCGCCTGCCGAATCACCGCATACTACTATGTCAGATGGAGAGACGGCACGGTGAAGGGCGCCTTCGGGTGGGTTGATGAGGTACAGGTCTGATTGACGGCTAATTAGCGGAGAGAAGCATAAGGTGAAGAGTGAACATACAGGCTGCGAGGATATCCTGGATTGCACATGGGAAAGGATATTGTGGCGCGAGACGGTAGTTGACAGCCAGTAGACGCCCGTGTATCTTGCGCGCCATCCGCTGCATCGTGTACCTCTCCTGATCAATACTCCCGAAATAGTAGCCCCCTGCCCAAACCAGTTAAACACATGCAACGAGCAATATTCAAATGCGGTAGGCGCACCTCCATGAAAGTACAAGATGCATTTGAGGTTGTCCATCTCTGCCCGATAGACATCTTCGATATCGTCGCTTACATCCGATGGGAGTGAAGGACCAGCGTCGGTAGATGAGCCAGTGTTGAAGAAGTTGAAGCCCGTCGTGGGCTTTCTCCCTCCGGCTGCCTCTCTCGCCTTCCTCTTCGCCTCTTGCTGGTCCTTCTTCGAGCACATCCACTCTGCACTCACCCTGTACCCCTGTAAGCGCGCACTCCAGAATAGGGAAGCATGCATCGAGGAATACGCACCCGCGAATGCCGCGAACCTGCCACCATTTCGTTCCGCCGACTGTCCGCTTCATGTTCTCTTCACCTCCGAACGCCGAAATTAGGTGTTCGGCAGCAGAGTCGCAGGAGGACATTGGGATTGTCACTCGTACAACGTGGTTGGCTGGGGTAGAGGGTGTACGAGTGTTTGAGAAGGCTTGCAGCTCTTCGACTGTGTGTCTGGCATCCGTGTCAGCCTTCACAATTGTATGCCTGAGCGTCGAACAGCGCGTACTTGGCTGATGCCTGCGACAGGAATGACTATAATCCAGAGTGTATCAGTGACTTGTAGGCTGGGATGTAGGGATGCCACGCACTCGGACGATATTGAAGACTTCGTCATACAACAGCTCGTCCTTCCTCAACGGCACGGCGTCCTCATCCTGCTCAATATAATGCTTGAACAGCGTCTCAAGGAATATGGGTCCCAGTCGCAGTCCTGCGTTGCGGGTTAGCGCATTCGGCGCCATAGCGGACGACATCCCGGCCCTGGGCTGGGGTGATATAGATATAGGCTCGGGTCCGAGGGCCGGAGGTGGAGGAGAGAAAGAGGCGAGCTGGGATTGGGTTGCATTGATCGTATACGAGACAGTTCAACTTTAGCCTGTCAGCGTTTGGCGCGCTTGGCGGGGCGCCCACGATCATCGTGTGGTCGGCTGCGTCATCGGCCCGCGGGCTTCTTTGCGAGCTGACCACCATCACGGTACTGACTCGCGGACTATGCGCGCTTTATCAGCGTACTCTCCCTCACCCTTGAATGCATACAACACTTTCCTGGCTTGAAAAGCAAAGTGCCGGTTTGCTGGTAGCACCTTAACGGGTACAGTGCGATCACTGTGGCTCGGACATGGAGCATCGACGTTCCTGTTTTTGGTCACTGGGTCTACTTCGTTCGTCCGACTCGCATATCCCTCGTATCGCATCTGTCTATTAGCATGCTTCTAGCGTGACGAGTGCTCTATTCACGATCATGCTTGGTGAACTGATATCACGCCGTGATTCCTATAGACGGGTCATAGTCCATGGCTGCACTTGCAGCCCTGTCAGGCGCTCGCGAACGTCCACGAGTCTCTCGATGGCTCCTTCACGGACTTAACCGAGACTGGCTATCCGCACCACTTTTCTATGTTATGTGTATGCTTTTATCCGCCCGGACAAAAGATGAGAACTCGAAGCGGTCTCCACGTTCACCCGACGGCCAGGCCAGTTCTGCAGCAGGCTTTACTGTTCTGTAAAGTACAGATGATGAAGACATCAACCGCTGCGCACGTTGACCTATGAAGGACCCCTTTAGACTCCAAAGGCCCGCCTCTGGGAGTCGGCTCACAAGGAACATACGTATCTGCGCGTGACTGCACTCTGCCATCTCGCTTTGTGAGGTCATGCCATATCCCCTCGGACGCGCCGAAGCGCTCTTATGCCTTGGACTGATACATTCGAATCGCGGAGAGATTCACTAACGCTGTATTCGACAGCGACAACGACGACGACGCTAGATCGCATCAGTCGGCATCCGACACGACCTCATAGCACAATCTGCAGTGATGCGAGCTAGGGGAAAGGGTATTCCGCGTGGTTGTCGGAGAAGGATGTCCGAGATATCGTGAGCAACTGCGACTCGACTTTCATCCATACACAGCGGCGCAGCGTTGGTTTGGAAAGCCTTGGGCACTGTATTTGACATTGTAACTCAAACGTGGTACAATCGTTCTCCCATGTTTGATGATGTATTCCGAGCAAGACAGTCTATGTGTTACTCTACGAAAACGTGAGAGTACGAGAGGCCGGCCGCAGCTGTACGCCAGATGTCGGTAGAGCGTATATGCGCTGCGAGCACTTGAATTGCCACATGAGATAGCATAACGCGGGCCGTGTAAGGCGTGCATACCCCTATAAGCACAAGTACGAGTCCGATGCTCGCTGGCCCAATGGCGACGCCGAATGCGGGGAAGATCGTCGATGCACGGCACGCCAACGTCCGACATCGTCCGACCACGCACTGAAGCGCTCAGCCTGAGGTTTGGAAGATAGAGCCTGAACATTGGGCCATGTTCCGACCGACTCTTAACTCGCATAGAGCAACAGCCGGAGACGGTGTACGCGTCAGTGGCAGCGGGAAGGAGAGGCGTTCGGCAAGGTTCGCCGAGCGTTCCGTGGGCGTGGGTCGTGGGAAGGCAGCCGACGCGACGCGTAGAAATTTCGAAGCCAGCGCGACTTGGTGCTGTCATCGTCTTGTTTCCTTTCCACCGTCATGCACTCCCTTATCCGCGCCTCCCGCACCGGCAAGTATGCTGTACGTTCATTTCTTTCTGTATAGTATGCACTGCATACTTATACTACTCCCAGGGCCTCTCGCGCAACATGATTGCGAGGAACATGAACTCCAAGGTCAACGGTGCGTACATTCGACGTGGCAAGTCTCCAAACATATCCTGAGTGTATGCGTAGGCCCGGTCATCGGCATTGACCTTGGGACGACCAACTCTTGCGTGTCCGTGATGGAGGGCAAGACGGCGCGTGTGATTGAGAACGCCGAGGGTGCACGCACAACACCCTCCGTCGTCGCCTTCACCAAGCACGGCGAGCGCCTCGTCGGTCTCCCGGCGAAGCGTCAGGCGGTTGTCAACCCGCACAACACCGTATTCGGCTTCAAGCGTTTGATTGGTCGCCAGTTCAAGGACAAGGAGGTCAAGGACGACGCTGCTCACTGGTCCGTTCACTTCCTTCCTTTTCAATTTTAGCGAAGGCTAATAGTCTATCAGGCCATTCAAGATTGTCGCCCAATCAGACGGGAGGCCAGCGATTGAGGTTGACGCCAGCGGCAAGCCTCAGAAATACGTGCGTAATGACATTATGCTGTGTCGTATGCAACTTCTAACGCCGCACGCAGTCGCCCGAGGAGCTCTCGTCGATGGTTTTGGTCAAGATGCGCGAAACCGCAGACCAATATCTGGGCAAGAAGGTCAAGTTAGTATTATTTCGTGACGTGGCGTCAGGAAAGTCATTTGCTGACTCATACTTTTTAGCCATGCCGTTGTCACTGTCCCCGCCTACTTCAACGACGCCCAGCGCCAGGCAACGAAGGACGCTGGCCAGATCGCCGGTCTCGACGTTCTCCGTGTTATCAACGAGCCTACCGCAGCCGCCCTCGCCTATGGTCTTGACAAGTCGGCGAACTCGGTCGTCGCTGTCTACGACTTGGGTGGTGGTACTTTTGATATCTCCATCCTCGAGATGCAGTCCGGCGTCTTCGAGGTCAAGTCGACCAACGGTGACACCCACTTGGGTGGCGAGGACTTCGACGTCGTGCTCGTTCAGCACATTCTTAACGAGTTCAAGAAGGAGGCCAACATCGACCTCAGCCAAGACCGCATGGCTATCCAGCGTATCCGTGAGGCCGCCGAGAAGGCTAAGATTGAGCTCTCGTCTACGTCCCAGACGGAGATCAACTTGCCCTTCATTACCGCGGACGCTACCGGCCCCAAGCACATCAACTTGAAGATCAACCGTAGCCAGTTCGAGGGCCTCGTCGCATCGCTCATCGAGCGTACCCTCGAGCCTTGCAAGAAGGCGCTCCAGGACGCTGGCGTCAAGGCGTCGGATATCAACGACGTTATCCTCGTCGGTGGTATGACTCGTATGCCCCGCGTTGTCGAGACCGTCAAGCAGATCTTCGGCCGCGAGCCCTCGAAGGGCGTTAACCCTGATGAGGCCGTCGCCATTGGTGCCGCTATCCAGGGTGGTGTCCTCGCCGGCAACGTCACGGACATTCTCCTCCTCGACGTCACCCCTCTTTCGCTCGGTATCGAGACGCTCGGTGGTATCATGACCAAGCTCATCTCGCGTAACACGACCATCCCGACCAAGAAGAGTCAGGTCTTCTCGACTGCCGCTGACGGTCAAACCGCCATCGAGGTCAAGATCTACCAGGGCGAGCGTGAGCTCGTTCGCGACAACAAGCTCCTCGGCAACTTCAACCTTGTCGGCATCCCGCCTGCGCCCAAGGGTGTCCCTCAGATCGAGATTACCTTCGACATCGACGCCGATGGTATCGTCAACGTCTCGGCCAAGGACAAGGCGACGAACAAGGACCAGTCCATGACCATCGCCTCGTCGTCAGGTCTCTCCGACAAGGAGATCGAGCGCATGGTTGCCGAGTCCGAGCAGTACGCCGAGGCTGACAAGGCCCGCCGCGACCTCATCGAGGAGTCGAACAAGGCCGAGTCCGTCTGCGCCGATACCGAGAAGGCGATGAACGAGTTCAAGGACCAGCTCGACGCGACGGAGAAGGAGAAGGTCAACAAGCTCATCGGCGAGCTCCGCGCCATCGCCGCGCAGGCACAGTCCGGCGACGCCTCGGTCTCTGCGGACGCCATCCGCGAGAAGATCAACGAGACGCAGCAGGCGAGCTTGGGTCTCTTCCAGAAGGTGTACGAGAAGAGGAACGCTGAGGAGCAGGCCAAGGAGGCGCCCGCTGAGGAGAAGAAGGACAACTAAGCGTGTCCTCTCGTCTGCCTCTCGCTTCCGGTTTTCTGCATCGTCTCGTGCTTCTTGTCCATCGCTGCTTCGCTGTCACTTGCTGTCGCCCTTCTCCCCGTACATTACTCACCTGGCTACCCTCAAAAGCTTGCTTTCATGCCCTCCACGCCCATCATCTTTCCCACTACGCACGCATTGCACACATTTCGTCTATTGTATATTTCGCTTGCCGGACGTACTCTAACCTCGTTCCGTGTACCGCTCTAGTCACTTGTCTCTTACGCTCAACTACAACCCCCCGCTCAGTAGTTATGCCTTGTCGCACGCTCTTACGATAGAAATGCGATCGGGATGTTTTGGATTTCTACCATGGTGTGAACTGTGTGATGCTTTGGAGGCAACGGTGGCGCCGCGAGCCTCGTGTATCGCGCGCGGAGGTCGCGCTTTGACCGCGGCCCATCTTTGCTTTTGACGACCATTATCATGACCTTTGTTTAGTGGCTTCACACTACTGGCAGCCTTTTGATGGGCGCCTCGCTGCAGCGACGTGCTCCCCGTTTGAGGATTGATGCTCTCGAGCCTGCTTGTGGTGAAGAGCGCAGGTAGCATGGTCTTTGTTCAGCATCCCACTAAGACTGGGCGAGGCCACACCCACCAACATAGTATATAAATGCGCCTGGACGATGCGCATTCAAGACCACCTCCAATCTGTCTAATTGTTCCCCATCCACATCCTAACCACCTCTCACTGCCTCCGAAAACCACACCCACAAGATGTCCTCATATACAGCGCCGGCGCCGCCACTATGGATGCTCCCTAACTTTCTCCGCTCAACTTCGCGTGTGTTGCCCGCGTTGACCGCCGGCTCTAACACTCGATTCTACATTCCTTTCACGCTTTCACGTTCACGAAATATTCTGAAGATGGTCTCATCGGTAGGGGAAACCAAGGTCGTTTTGCCTACATCGAGCGCAGCGAGCGATGCCTCGTCCACCACATCTTCTGAAGAGCTGAACTCTCAGAAGTCTGCGGCATCCGGGTCCTCGCTGAAGGATGCGGTCGCGCAGAAGATCGCGGCGCAAGAAGCCAAATCGGGATCTACCACTCAGACGCGTCGAACGCCCCTTCGCGAGCGTGTATCCAACAAGCTCTACGTCTCCACCGGCTCCTCATCCGGTGGCTCGCGCTTCAACGTCCAATCCCTCCGCGCAGCTCTTGCAGCGCCTATCCTTGCCGTTCTCGGTACCGCACGGCCAGAAGAAAGGCCCAAGACCGCGACACTTACTGTTCCCATCTCGTCTTTCCACACCGAAAACCCTACCACCGCTTGTGCGCTAGGGCAGAACGTCTTCCTCACGAGGTCGATGCCGAACCAGCTACCGCCTACGCTCATATGGTCCGACGCAAGCTGGGGCCAGTGGTCCACGGTCGAGGCACGATACATCGTGCACATCATCCCAGGAGAACAAGCCGTGCGTGCATACGGCGAACGACCATACCGCGGCAAACTGCCACCGACTTTCTGGCATTTCGTACCGGATGAAGAGGGCGACCCGAAGGAGGGAGAAGGGACGCATGTGTTGAGGCTGGTGCCGCAACCGCAGGGGCATGGCGGGGAGAGCGCGTTGAGTGTTGAGCAGGTTGCTGAGGCGCTGGCGTTTATCTGGGAGGCCTGGGAGAAGGCAGAGAAGATTCAGAGGAGCCAAGTCGCTTCGTCTTCCTCAGACGCCGACGAAGCTCAGGCCAAGGTCGAGCTCCCGCCCATCCTCTTAACCGCCCCTCAAGGTCTGGCGACAGACGCGAGCCTCGCGGTGTTGGGGCTCGCGTACAAGAAGACGCTCTCGGGCGGGGCGGGGAGGAGAAAGAGCGCTCATACATTGTGGATGGAGATGGTGGATGATGAGGAGAGGTATAGGGGCGAGTGGAAGGAGGCGCTGGGGTACTTGGATTGGGAGGATGTGCAGTTTGTCGAGGAGATGTGGCCGAGGGCTGACTCGAAGGGGAAGAAGAGTGTAGGGAAGTAGCAATGTGTATGCCGCTGGGATGTATTGCTTGACCTGCCACGATTTGTTGTATGTTCACTGTAATGGCAACATGCAAATGCGTCCACCTTGACATTTCCTAGGAGGCCTGACGGACTTCGCGCGTCCGGTCGGATCTCTCATGCGCATGTCTTCATACCGCAGACCCTGAACCCAAGCGCACGAGGGCCAGTCATACATCGTACTAGGACTTGCCTTTATTGTCTCCAGAGAAGGTGGAGTCTGCGCGCGTGGTACACCCGAGCATGTGGAATCTGGACGAACAAGCTTCGTTCCGAGTAAGGTGACATTGGCAGAGCAATCGTGAATACAGAAAACATGAGCACGGACAGTGGAAGCAATTCATAATGTTAAGCATCAATCAGTCCGAGCTGAAGTAAGAGCACAGAGGCAAAGCAAGTATCGTATCAAGAGTTCAAACTGAAAAGAAGCAATCATGGTCGCGAGGGGTTCGAACGCAGCGACCTCTCCCCTAGCTCACTCGCCCCTCCCAGATCGGACCGCGCATCCGTGTACACGCTCACACCGCTCCGACTAGAAGCGCCCGTATTCGACAACGGGGCACTGAGCAAACTAGCGGCGCGAGAACCGGGCGCAGTCAACTCGGTATGCCGCGGCACGACGAGCTGAGCGACGCGTTCGGGTCCACCGCTTGGCCGCAAACGCGCGGGCACATCGCGGGGAGGTGGGGCCGCAATTTCATGTCCGGACTCTGCACCGGAGGTGAAGGAGCGTATTGTGAGCGCTTCGATGGACGACGTATGATCCAGATGTGACGTGGGTAATGGCGGTACGACAGATGACTGATTGTGTGACTGGCCCGTCATCGACGTTTTGCCTGTCGAGGTGCTGGCTGCGATGGACCGTCGGAAGGCTGAGATCAGCGGTCCGGCCGTTGGAATGTGTAGCCATGATGGATGTTCTTCGGATTGGGACTGCGGGGGTGGGGAGGAAGGCGGAGAAGCTGTCGGTATCGAGGTTCGGCGTGTGGATTTGGGTGTGGGTGGGAGGCCGTCTTCGGGCACCGGTGCCATGGGTGCGCGTATGCGAGTGCGAGCGTGTTTGAGAGGTTGCGGTTGCCGTGGAGGCGGGGGTCGTTGGGGCATGGGTGGGCTGTCCGTGGCGTAGGGAGTATACGCGAAGTTGGCGGTGGGCTCGGGTGTAGAGTCATTGTAGGCGTCGTAGTACGTGCTCTCGGGCGTGCTGTGATATTCCCCATCTATGACAAGGCCGTGTCCTGTGCTACTAGCCGAGAGATCGCGATCATGGCCTTGCAACTCCTTCGAATATAGAAGCGGTGCACCAGCCTCTGATGCATGTCGGGCATGAGCGCCGGGGTTCGAAGCGTCTTCAAAGTCTCTCCTAGGACCCCGTCGCGCTACTCTCCTCCTCAGGATAGGAACAATGATGCAAACGAGTCCGAAGACGAATAGGAAGCCGCCCAGGCAAGATACGATGATTATGATGAGCTTCGTGCTGTTATTGTCGCCAGAGTCATCTGTAACCTATATTCGGCTCGTATGTCAGATCGTCAGTACAGTATAGAGCACAGTATACGCACCGGAGATGTCGCCGTAGGAGTACTCATGGTAGTTGGGAAGCAAGAAGCTTAAGCAGGCCGCGTCCGAACCGCGATGGAGCCAAAGGCTTATTTGAACAGAAAATGACGCGCGTGCTGCCCTCAGTCTTGTATGTAAGGAGAATGGTGGCAAACGCGTGAACCTGGGGTATCCCAACAGCCCAATAGAGTTGAAGTCCGATGTTGGACTGGCAGCAATGTATATATATGCGTCGTGGCGGTGGCGAAGAGCAAAGGCACTGCTTCACGCCCACCGTTATATCCGCACGCCGTTCGGTCGTCCGTCCCACGTGGCAAGATGGCAATACTCAGTACATGCAACGAACCGTGTGTTCAGAGGAGTTCCGAGCGTTGAGCCGAAGTAGCTTATCGAAATGACAGAACAAAATGCAACTGATAACGCCTGTGTCCGCTGCACAACTGGAAGTGGAAGCTCGAGAGGCAAAATAGGGGCGTTGGACTGCCACGTGGTTCGTAGCTGAAGGTTCCCAGCTCTCTCACGCAAGTTCGTTACGACCATCACCAGGACCAACAACGTACAACTATGACGGAGCCAGGCCGTAGAGATCTTACTCAAGGACCCTGGTATTGTGACTGGAACTGGTGTAGGATGTGAGGACCATATTTACCAAAATGATCCAGGCATCGCGCTGACTACTTCGGTAACGCCTCAGCAAGTTCACCGATCCGAATGAGCTAGGAAAACATGTGATGGAACATATAGACGACGACTACACGGCCGGACTCCTTGCATGTCGGAAGTCAGATGCAGATCGCCTACGCCGTACCCTGGAAGGACTTGGTAAAGATTGACATTCAGCTTTGATGGTATCTATATGCTGATTTCTTGTAGACAGTGTGAGCTTGAACTTGCAGGACAGTCAACCTCAATCTCAGTCGCAGTCTGTCAAAGATGGTGCAGTGAATAGACCGGCAGGCAATCGATCGACAACGGGACTGATTGCTGCTCCCCTACGGGCCCGAAGTCGTTCGCGCGATGATAGCGACGAAGAAGGACGGCCTCACAAGCGGATGCGTCCGTCGTTCGCGGACGTTGATGCTGGGTCTTCCCCAGATGCGGAGATAGCATCTTTACCAGACTCACCAGATATCTTTGCTCAACCTCCAGACTCCAATCTTAAGCACCTCCCTCCGTCGCCTTCCCCTGCTGCTGTAGATCTGACTGCGTCTCCGGGACCCTACAAGTCGAAGCGGCCATGGCTCTTACCCGGTTTAACAAGCTCTATACCAGAACCACGGCCGTCGACGACCCAAGAGCGGCTATCTAAGGAAGTGAATTCTTTGTCGCACGAGCAGCCCATCGTTCCCGCGGACCCTTTGCTCATTGGCTCGCATACTCAACCCCAATCACACGGCGACAATGGATATGGCGAATGGATGGATGATATTATGAGCCAAGCGCCGTTCTACCACGTATGAGCCCTCTCATTCTTGGTTTGGTCTGCGAGTGATGTTACTTAATACCATGTCAATACACTCATTCCGAAGAGGCGCATTCATGTCTACGACCTCACGTACCTCGTGTGATCTCACCCTGTATCGATACCACATCATTTCCAATCCCCTGGGAGCCCCCCACTCATTCTTGCGTGCTCGCTCTGATGCCGGGTCTCGACTGTTGCCCTCCAGTAGTGGCGCATCGTTATCACATATCGTGGTGCCCCTCTCCGTCACACCACTGACATAGCAGCAAGGTTCTGGTTGAACCAATCTACAGTATGCGCCAGTGGGTCTACCTCGGCTTTCAAGAACTAGCAGGATTATGCGGCGAGTTCGGATGCTCCGCGATGATCGTCGATGGAAGGTGGGTATGTTCGAATCTTATCGAGAATGCCGTACTGAACTGGTCCTTGCAGGGCGAACGCAAGACTACGCGACTTCCATTCTGTCGAATCTCTCTCAAGACGAAGCTCGCGACCTTGGCCACACGCCACTGCGGCGAGAGAAGTCCCGCTCTCGTAAAGGCTTGCCGTTACGCGACGCGGCGATTTTGTGTGCGCCGAGCACGTACCACAAGATCTGCGGAAACTCAAGCGCCTTAGATGATCAATGCAGGCATCTTGCCGCCTTGCATGCTTCGATGTGTATGTGAGATCTGTTTTCTGTCTGGAGAGCACCGCGTTCACTACTATATCGAACGGATAGATCTCACAGCGCTGAGAACGCCGCGCCTTCAATGACGCCCTTGGGTATCTCTGAGGCCGCACGATACAAGCCGCCCCCAACCAGAGATGCAAGTTTTACCTTACTGGGCAAACCAAACGTATGCCTGCGTGTCAAGATATAGACGCTTTGGCCCAATGGCAAGTTTCTGTCGAAGCGTGCGGCACAGGAGCCGGACCAAACATTGCCTCGAGGCCGAATACGGTGCGATCTAGGAGCCGACGATGCTTCTTCTGCAGGCTGCAGGCTGTAGCGGCCCATCCGTCCCCGACATCGGCCTGCATTAGACGTCACGGGTTGCGTTGATGACCGAAGAGATCGTAGAGTCAACGCGACCCACCTCTGGCGTCAAGATAGACTCTTCCAGCGTCTGTCGATTCGTCGAAACCAGATTTCTGCTGGCGATGCACGCCAGGTGGCGTACATACCATCACTGTCGTCTTATGGGTCCAGAGATCATCTATCGACAATGGCGGCATCGGATGGCTTGTAGGAATCGAGGGCGTTTTCTCCTTGAACGCGCTTTGCAATGGCCTTGCTCCGTTTAGTATGGATGGTTGCGCCTTTACCTCAGCTTTCCGTTTTTCCGTCTTCTTATGTCTTCTAGACACGCTGTGTAGCACAACGTACGTTGGCTCAGTTGGGCTACGGGTACCTCGGCCCTGCTTATCGGCCCTTCATCTTGCACGAGGGTGGAGTAACTTGCCGCCACTTCATCGTCCTGTTGTTGGGTCCTTTCGTGATCCCCATAGACTTGGGCTGTAAGGCGACGCATTTGACTCTCCGGCACGTTGTAAGATAAGCGCCCGGTCTAGTGCACCGCAGAAGCATCGACGATATGGAGTATCGAGGGACGTCAGATTCGGATCTCCCATGACTGGCAGGATCTCTTCTCGATGGACGCATATATAGTACGGTCCACCTTACCTCACCAGCTGATAGCCTTCCTCTAACTCATACGATGTCCGCAGACTCCTCAACGTCCACTTTAGCCCCCAACGAGACGACCTCGCTCATAACGCGCACGTCCTCAACCTTCACCGAGGATGCCCGTAGTGCCGGTCACTTCACCCTGAGCGCGAAGCATACAGCCCGAGAACTCCTCTTACTGCTTAGGGACTCAACTCCCGGTGCGCCTTATCCTCCCAGAAACTACGCTTGCTGATCCTATGCCATCTCTAGTCGTACTTTCATATGTTCTTCAGCACTCAATCTGCACGGTCGCCGTCATAGTAGCGGGTCGATTAGGTCCTGAAGAGTTGTCGATTGCAGCATTCAGCCTGATGTTGACATTTGTCACAGGCAAGTATCTGCGCTCCCCTATTCACCAAGTCTTGATCCCATCTCCGTTGTCACAGGCTTTGTGGTCGCTTTGGGAGGATCGACAGCTCTCGATACTTTCGGGTCTCAGGCGTTCACTGGCGGCAAGCGTTCGACAGATCTCTCCGTGCATTTCATGCGTTGCATCATTGTGCTCTGGATGTTCTTCATTCCAATCGCAATCCTATGGATCAACGCGGAGCCAATACTTCTCGCTCTTGGACAAGAACCACTCATTGCTCGAGGCACACAGAGATTCCTGCGAGTCATGATCGTCGGAGTCCCAGCGTATATCGCTTTCGAGAGCCTAAAGAAGTATCTTCAATGCCAAGGTAGATTCCAAGTCTTCGAAATCGCGCGCACGACCGCTGATAATCTCTGCGGGAACCTAGGTATCATTCATGCACCTACTGTTGTTCTTCTGGCCGTCTTCCCTATCAATGTGGCACTCAACGTGGCCCTCGTGCACTACACATCCCTGGGCATCATGGGCACTCCGCTCGCCGTGTCTCTCACGTTCTATATCGCTTTCACACTCCTAGCGTCCTACACGGCGCGGTCATCCCAGCATAGGAAAAACCAGACATGGGGTGGCTTCCGCTTCCGAGTCATCCTGAACTTTCGCGGATGCATGTCCTTCACGAAGCTTGCTCTCCCCGGCGTACTCATGGTCGGCACCGAGTGGGCTGCGTTCGAGATAGTGGCGCTAGCTGCTGGCCGGCTTGGGAGTACTTCTCTCGCAGCGCAGTCTATCATCATGACCTCTGACCAAAGTGAGTTCCGTCTGAGCTTCAACTCTGAGGTCCGGCTCTCACATACACGGCAGTCCTCAACACCGTACGTCTTCTTCCGATGCCTACGCATATGATTTCTTCACCTGCCACCAGATACCCTTCGGGATAGGTTAGCTCGCCGATGTCTTCATCGAGGTGTCTCTTCTGACTAGCATCCGTTCTGACAGGTGTCGCTGCGTCAGCTCGAGTGGGGAGCCTCATCGGCAGCCGCTCGGCCGCTGGTGCCCGGTTTGCGGGGCATCTGTCGGCTTTCGCCAGCGTTCTTGCTGGCGCTACAGTGATGATTCTTCTGCTCGCGACTAAAAACGTAAGACGGTCTCCGCCATCCCATGATTTCTATTCTTCTGATCCATCCCAGGTATTCCCATACATGTTCACCGACAACGGGCAAGTCGCGCAACTCGTGAGCCAGGTCATGCCCCTTCTTGCGTCTTTTCAGGTGAGAGCAGAAGCTGCCGTCTTCACGGCGTATCTAAAGGTATGATAGATTGCGGACGGGCTGGCGGGTTCGTGTGGAGGTGTATTGCGGGGTCAAGGTGAGGATCATGCACGTTCGGTCGTGCGCCTCGACCACTAACGTTTTCCATCAGGACGCCAGCATCTCGGCGCGGTCTTCAACGTCGTGGCATATTACATCCTGGCGCTGCCTATAGGCATCTCTCTGGCATTCAAGTATGATCTTGGGCTGGCTGGTCTCTGGATCGGTGCGCTTCAGGCGTATACGTGAGATTCTGTACTGATTCCAGCATCGTAGGACAAGTGATCGGGCTTTTTGTCGTCGGCATCGCCGAATACGCCGTTGTCTGGCTGGGAACGGACTGGGAGCGTGAGGTCGAGAAAGGCGCAGATCGTAATGCGGCAGAAGCCCTTCGGCAGCAGACTCTCGTCGTTCGCGATGATGGCCGTGTTTAGCCAGGACTTCTTGTGACTAATGAAAGCATGCGTCGTATGTATGTACATAGAACTTATGTCGGTGGCAAGCAAGAAGCAATACAATAGTGTACAGAGCACATGAATCTCACAGCTTAGCACGCGAAGGCAGCTGAATGCCTTCACTGACGAGCACCTTCTCCGCAGCATGGCCAAGATATGGGAATGACGCTGCATACAAGGCCGCCTTCTCCGAACTTGCCTGCCGCCGGGCGTATCTCGCCGCGATACCCTGCGCAATGATGGCCAGCTGCGCGCGGTCTTCGTTAGCTTGCGCCACAGAACAACCTAGTGGTACGTACGCGCATAAGCATCCAACTGCGTACAAAGATCATGTCCTTTATGGGGTACGCAAGACCCATGAGCCGGCAGTACTCGCGCTCGATGTCCGCGAGCGCTATAGGCATGCCATCTGCTTCGGTTGCGTTCTTATAGCTACGTGTCGTCATTGGCTGATCGGCCGGTACTCCAACCTCTTGCCAGTCAACTGCCCAAGGCATAGTCATATTGCCTAGATCCGCCAGCTAAAAGTGCAAATTGGCATCATTGTCAAAGCAACGATTGACGAGGAGTACATACAGGGCTACCCAGGGTGCATAGTTCCCAGTCGAGGATGCCGATGACCCGGTTCTCAGTGGGGTGGAAAATGAGGTTATCCAGCTTATAGTCACCGTGCACAATGCGTAGTCCGAGAGGGCGCTCATCAGGCAGATGTTTCTTGTACCAATCGACCATGTCATCCCATCGCGGGATCTTGCCAACCTGATCGGCACCGTCAATGCATGAAACGGGGAGAGCGGCTATCGCATCACGTACCTCCTTCCCGGTGTCGATGTCTTTCACAGCAGCTTGTGCTGCAGAAACGGCCGTCAGGGCTTTAATCTGCCTCGGGAAGTAGTCCGAGGATGGTCCAAAGTTCGACAACTCGAGCGCCGCGGGGTCCAGGGAAGATAGCCTTGTGAGCGCTGCTACCGCCGAGAGCCAACTGTACGCAATCTCAATGGGGTATGCTACCTCTTTCAAGATGGTGACTTACCACTCACGCCTGTCCTTTGCGTTTACCTCCGGCATATTCGTATCCGTGAATATGCGTCCTTCAAGAAACTCCATGATATAGAACGGTGTTCCAATCACACTGGTATCTTCGCAAAGAATGAAGGGCTCCGGTACAGGTACTCGAGCATCTGTGGGCGTCTTGGGATGTATATTGTGTTTATGAATTGCGTTGAGGACCGTAAACTCGCGCTCGACTTGATGTGCCGTCTTCGAGACAAGTGCGCCTGCTGGCTTCTTCCGAAGAACAAAGCGCGTTCCCCTGCGCAATTCTTCAGAGGCTGTTACTCCTTCGGAAGACGTATGGCGTACCTCGAGTCTGCCAAGAAGTATGTCGGGTTTGACTACGACAGAAACCATCAGCGGCGCTTCCCGGCCACACCCAAGCATAGCGGTATACCTGCCCAAACTGACATAGGTTCAGCACCTTGACGCGCCGCTGCTACCGATGTGTGGCGCACCTTGAACTGCTTAACAGCGACCGGGGCTCGCACTGCCGGCACACTCTTCTTAAGGTATGCGTTGAGTCTGTCCACGTCGATATTCGCACGGACTTCGCCGACTTCGCCTCCAACCTGTTGAGGCTTCTTTGCGGCAGTCATTGTAGTGGGGGCAAGAGTACAAGATGCAGATGCCAAACATGATGGAATGCGGGGTAAAGGTTGCCGGTGGTCGGGAACCGGAGACCCCAAGACCGGGCACACGTGCAGTTCGAGCGTCCTTGATGACAGTTGCTTCCGACCACCATGATCCACATCGCAAGGCAAAATGTATAATAATAGTCGACTACTCTGAGCGACCGATGACATTAGGAACAGAGTATAGTACTTGACATTCAAGAAGCTCCGGAAGATCTACGCATGGTGTGGATACTACGAGGTGATACATTCATTTTGACGTTATTGTGGGACGTGTACAGACATTGAGGGAACCGAGTCCATCAACCTGACCCTAGTGCCTTGGCACGCGACCGCCGAGAGCTTGGAAGACGGCGTCGCCCGACACGTCCGTCCGCGCGTTCTTGAAGTAGTTCGAGACAAGGAACGCGACATCTGCAAGCTGTGTGAGGATACCGAATACAACAGGAGTCCTTCGACACTCACCGAGGGATTGCTCGAAGTTCAGGCGAGGGTCGCAGAAGCTTTGGTAGCGCAGGCCGAGCTCCTCTTCAGAGAGCTCCATGCTACCGCCGAGGCATTCGGTGACACTGAACCCGGCGTCGTCGACCTCACCAGTGAACTCGAGACTCACGCCGTTCATGCGAGAACCGCACTCGGCATGAATGCGCAAGCAGGATGTCAACTCAGAGATGATGGTACCGAAGTTGCGCGTCTTAATGCCAGCTGGGGTCGTTTGGGTGCTATTGCTATGATCAATATCACGATGCTCACGAGCAGGACTATGGTCACGTACTTGCCGTGCATGGGATCACAGACCCATGCTACCGGGTGGTCGCTCTTCTGCACGGCGGCGATGTGCGCGGGCAAGAAGTCATCGATCTACGAGGCGAAATGAGACCGAGTTGGGAGAAGAGCCGGCATCCTACGAACCTTCCCTGCGCCGTAGCGGGTGATCAACGAGACACGGCCCTCTTCGCGATCAGGGTTGACGATGTCAAGAAGTCGGATGAGCTCCTCGCTCTTCATCGAGGGGCCGACCTTGATACCGATGGGGTTGCGGATGCCACGGAAGTACTCGACATGGGCTCCGTCTATCTGGCGCGTACGGTCGCCAATCCAGATGAAGTGAGCAGAGGTGTTGTAGTAGGCAGAGTCGTCCTCGTTCGAAGGCGTGTGCGCTCGGGATGCAGATCGCGACTTCGCAGCGGAACTGGCGTGGGTGGCTACGCCAGGGATGGGGAACTTGCGCGTCAAAGCCGTTTCATACGGTAACATCAGACCCTCATGGCTAGTCATCATGAGCTCGGTATGATCTTTCAGCGTGCTAGTACACTGACCTGGTGTAGATATCGACTTCGCCCAGGGCTCCGCGTCCTCCTCCACGCTCGAACGGAAGAGCGTCTTGGCCGTTCGCAAGACCAATCGTGCGGGTAAAGTCCAGCGCAGATGCCAAACCTGCGGTGATCTCCTTGTACTCCTTTCTGTATGATGGTGAGCACTCGAATAACGGCCGGTTCGGGCGTCTGCCACTTACCTAAGATTGGCGGAGCGAACATGCGCAAGAGACCAGTCCCTCGGGTTGTTGCGGTTCAGGGAGGCGAAGCCGGAGGTGAGCAGACCACGCATGTAGTTCAGGGTCGTAGTCGAGTGGAAGTACGCGCTAAATGGCCTTGAGATGATACTTGCGAATGGACATACGTTAATCATACCTGAGCAAGCGCTCTGGGTCGGGTGTACGATCATCCGTGCTCAATCTAGAGAAGATCAGCTCGCTACGTTCAAAGGTCTATACGACCGGCATACCCGTTCACATTATCTCCTCTATGATGCGATCGTGAGTACACGAGTGAGGCAGAAAACTGATGAACATACCGGAAGCTCGGTACCTCTCGGTCTCCAATCTTCTCTGTAGCACTGCTCCTCGGTTTCGCGTATTGGCCAGCGATGCGTCCAACACGGACCTGATTCTGATGTCAGTACGTGTCGAAAGATAGATGTCCTCGGGCTTACAACAGGAACCCGAGCACCCCAGATGAGAACTAGCGAGAACGACAAGATCAGCCCGATCTTGGCCGTGATGTTTTGCTGGAGAGGGATGTCCGGTCAGAAAGCAAACGGAGATGAAAAGGAAGGGAGGCGGACATGAGTGCATGCGTCGAAGCTCTCGGCGCAATCACCCGCATGAAGGAGGAAGGCTTCGTTGCGTTGGACTTGAGCCAATTGGTGCCTCAAGCGCTCGATCTATGGGAGCATGAGCGGGAGAGGGAGATGCACGGCGAGAGTGCAGGCGAACCTCCGACGGAGTGACCAGAGGAGGTAAATGAGAGATTTTGGAGATAACACTGACAACCACGTTTAGCGTGACTCGCATCACCGCACCGACATCGAACGTACTTGTTCAGCTTCGCTTCATCCGGGTACACGACGGGCTATATGGTAGGTTGGGCGGAGTCATAACAGGCCGACCGCTGTGATGCGCACCTGAGCGACAGGCTTGCTTTGCCAGGAAGTCGGCGTCCACTGGGAGTCAGACATGTTGATAGATTGAGGGATATGGAGTACAAGACGAGGGCAAGTAGAATGCGCGGCGTTAAGAGGCTCGGTGCTAGGGCAAGTTCGTCGAAGAGATGCAGATGCTGCTGTATGGTTGGTGCTTTCTAGCAACTGCGTTTGCAGATGCTTTATACAAAGTGCGATTCAAAGCAGTGACGGTTGATACCCGCCGAACGTCCTGCGATCTTTGGGCGTTGTTGCACGAATGTCCCCCTGGCGCAGATTGTGGGTGTTTATTTTTGATATCGCCATGAGTCGATCAAGCCTTCGGCATCTTTCGGCAGATCCCGTGTTTGCGCCCGCCCAACTCGGCGATCTGACCGACATTTTCCATTGGACGAGCACAGGCCATTGGCGATCCCATTCATCGCTAGACTGAACATAGAGCATTCATACAAGCTATGAACACTGCGAACTATGATGCTACGGTTCCGCTGGAGGAACGCCGTGCATGGAGTGTAACACATCCATCACAACCCCAGATACCCCGCGGTTTCACCCATACAGTTCTAGCAATAGCGTGATCCAATGGCGGCTCTCTACGTGTCACTCACACCGTGCAGTCAACTATGACCGACCTTGCGTGGTGGTCGCTTGGGAGCTGGCTGGTGATGGCGCCTGTTGCGAACGTGGGCACAAGGCACGAGCTCTGTTCGTTCGACTGCAAGTTCACCGTCTCAGTGGCGCCTCCGCAACCAGTCGCGTTAAAGAACTGAGCGGTACAGCCCACGTCTGTACTAGTGAATGAGCATAGAGTCACGTATACCCAAGGACCAAACGTACTTTCGGGCCCACTGGGGTTGAAAATGAAAGAATAACCGGCCAGGTTGGTGCAAGTGCCCTCAACGAAGGAACCCTTGCTCGGAGCAACGTTTCGCGGGCATGCCACTGGGTAGAAAGCGTCCCAGACCTCATAGTTAGTGACAAATTGGACTGGAACGATCAGTCAGACGCAATCGCGGTATAACATGAGGTGCACTCCTTACTAGGGCCTTGAGCGCAGACGCTAGCGACGGCGGAAAGGACGGCTGAGAGTTGGAGAAGGCGAGGAGAGAGCATGTTTCCTGTGAAGATGCGTGAAGTACCCGCTGCTGGTCGTATCGTGTCACTCAACGACCTCTTTATACTGTCCCGTCCGCTGACCGGCACACTGTACGCCGAACGTCTACCCGCTCTACCTTTCGGTCCTGTTTGTCACCCTATTCAGCTGAGGGAAAGGCATGCGTACGCGGGTAGGCCTGCGAGTGAGTGGCACCCGATTGCGAGCCTCATGCGCTTTCTGAGCACCAAGGGTTCCCGCTCAAACGCGCGCTCATACCCGCGTTCATTCTCTGTCGAGGCCTGGCCCATTGTGCGAGTCAGCATATCCATGAAAAGGGTGTCACTCTCAGCCAAAAGTTGCGCGCTCATGTACGAATCGAGAGAGTGCGCATCGTGTTGTCCCGCCAGCGGTGCCGCTCAAACCAATGAACTGTATGATCACTGTATGGCAGGGTTCCTCGTTGTGCGCACGCTCATACCACCGACCTTCCCTGCCATTCAGTCTACGGGAACTGAGCGGGTAATGGCGACCGTGCCTTGAAAGTCGTTCAGTCCATCAACTGCCAGAGTAATGTCAGTTGAAACGTGCGCTCGTAACCCGTGCGGCAAGTATACCGAAGTCCTAGCGTGGTCGGCGACACACGGCGCCGGATAGCTCGAAACATACTCAAAAGTCTTATGGCGATCTGACATTCTGAGTAACATCGGAAATAGATGTGCGGTCCGGTGAAGGGGTACAATCAAGACTACCACCCGCACGTCTGCACCTTTACCCCCGGCCCACTTCTCCGGCATCAACACCACGAGTCGCTCATGAATCTTCCTACGTGTCCACCTCTTAAAGACGAATGGTAACTGTACACCTAATCCTCAGCACGAGCTCTTTGAACTGACGTAGATCTTGCTTGGACGCACATGGAAGTCAAAGACAGACATTCTCACACCGTGCAGTCCACTATGACCGACTTTGCCCCACCCTCGATCTCGCCGATAGCGGGTGGCGGGAAACTGTACACGGGAACGATGCACGAGCTCTGGGGCTCATTCGACTGCAGCTTGACCGTATCGCTCGAGCCTTCACAGCCCGCCGCCTCGAAGAGCTGGACGGTACAGCCGACATCTATCGTCTCGTGTAAGCTTCACTGTATGGGCCATAGCAAAAGGAAGTGTAGCGCACTTGCGGGACCGGTGGCATTAAATGTGAATGACCAGCCCTCGATGTTGGTGCATTGGCCTTCAATCACGGTACCTTGGGTCGGGGCGATATCCTGCGGGCAGGGAACAAAGTTGTCGGTATCCCAAGCCTGGTAGTTAGCGAGGAGGCGGACTGTGATGTTCAGTCAGCCTCGCTTGTGGTAGACGGATAAGTGCTCCTTACGCGGGCTTCCTTGGGCGCAGACACTGGTGACAGCGGCAAGGACGATTGAAGACTGGTAGATATGAGACGAGAGCATGCTTCCTTCGTTGATGAGCCGCGGATGTTCGCTGCTGCTTATCCTGTCCGCAAGCTGTCCTCTTTATACTGCACCGTCCGGGCACCGGCACCCTTACTGTCGAGTCTACCCGTCCTAAGTGTCGGCCCTGTGGACTGACGTGCTTGAAACCTGAGGACAAAGCATCGGCTGGGAACGAGTGAGGAGTGCGTAATCCGCGCGCATACCCGCCTCCATTCCTCGACAAGGCTTCAGGCGCTGTGTGAGTCAATGCTTGCACACTAAGAACGCCAGTGTCAGCCCTAAGTGGTGGCCGTGTCTGACGTGAGACCGTAGGCATCGTGCCCTCTACCAACCTGCGGCGGCGCCGAAGACGGCTGCTCATGCCCGCGGCCTTCCCTCCATATCCAGCGAACGGGAAGGATGCGGCTCACTGACGACGGTGTTTCGATATCACATCCGTCAACCACCGAAGTCTCAGGTAAAACGTGTGTGAGTATCCGTGCTACTCTGAACACTAAAGCACTGGCAAGAGGTCGCCGACGGCGAGTAGCTTGGTGTTGGAACTGCACTTGATGGCCTCGTGATGATTCGGCGCTCTGAATAGCGTCAGAAATGGATATGCGGTCCGGTACCACAGTAGATCTGTACAACCAATGCTACCATCCTCTCCTCTTACCACCCTTACCCCATTTCTCGAGCATGAAGGCCGTGAGCCATTCATGCAACTCCCTGTAAGCGCCCCTCTTCGAGATTGAATGATCACTGAATCTTTCTTCAGCACCGACCCTTCATACCGGCGTAGTCCCGCCGAACGTACCTGTCCGTGAACATGCGGAAACGGTATTTCCGAATGTTGGCAGCCGTGAACATGTCCAATAGATGCGCCGTATTGGCGTAATGCACGTTGTCGTCCGCACTGCCATGGGCAAGCGCAAAGTCGACGTTGTCAAAGTTTGTGACGTTCACGATGGAGGCGTTGATGTAGCCATTGGGGTTGAGTTGAGGGGTGTTCATGTAGCGCTCGGTATAGATCGTGTCATACATGCGCCAGGAGGTGGGTGGCTGAAACGGCGGTGGCGTTAGTGATGGGAAGAATGAAAGATGGCACACGGTGGACATACGGCGACGGCCATTGCAAGAGAGTGGATACCTGCTGCAGCTTCGACGACTTTGAGGCTCATGAAACCTCCGTACGACTATTCAGGGCGCGCATGAGCACAACGTTGCCAACAATAAGAAGAGAAGCTTACCCAACCCCATATCCCAATCCTCTTCGGGTCGACATATGGTTTTGACGCCCACTGTCTTGCAGCCTCGATCTGATCCCTCGTCTCCCAGAATCCAAGATTGCCTTTGACCATGTTCCTCAACCCGCGTCCCTTCCAGCCTGTGCCACGCCCATCGACAGTGACAACGATGTACTGTTGCGAGCATGCCAGGAAGTAGTGCCAATCGACGCCGAACCTCTGCGTGACCATTTGCGAGAACGGACCGCCGTAAACGCGGAACAGAACAGGGTACTTCGTGCGGCCTGAGTCATCCATGTGAGGGGGACGGATCTCCTGGACGTTGAGTTCTGGAAAACTGAGCATCAGCACGGGCGCTGAACTTGAAAACAATGCTAGGACGTACCATATCCCTCGCTTTCGATGGTGGAATGCGTCACAATTGGCATCTCGAACTGACTCCAAGTCGTATTGAGCTCCTGATTATCCGTCAACAAGAAACTGCTCGACTCGTTCCCGGCTTTGACAACCCGCTGCCAAGGGATATTCGGCCCATCGTACGAAAGCAGATAGAACCCTGCCTCAGGCGAAAAGCTGACGGAGTGATATCCCGGTGCGGCGATATCTGTAAGCGGTTTAAGCGGCGCAAGCTCATCGTCTTCGAGGCCTTCGGCCTTGGCTGCGGCGAGACCGGGAAGAGGAACGGAATAGAGGTGACGCTCGATGGAGGTTGGTGCGGCGCCGAGGAGATAGATCAGGCCTTGTTGGGCGTCGACGGCCTGGATACCGCCGGCTACCTCCCACGGTCCACTGGTAAGCCACTGTGGCGTCCCGTTATTCGCGGGGCTGAACAATGCAACATGGTTGAATCCATCTTCATTTGGCACGATGTCGAGATACGCAGGAAGACCATTAGGGCGGGCAGCAGATGGAAGCGGGTATATGTCCTGGTTCGCATCGATCCATCCTTCATCGCCTTGTTCGCCATCTTTGCCGAGTTTACGCACGGCGGAACCGTGTGCGCCGCTAGGGGTAGACAGGTCGAAGTATACGACGCTGCCCACGTCTGCGTTGCGGTTGACTTCTTTCAGCAGCATGACAACGTTGTCGAGCCATGCTACTTCTGCGATGATACTATCGGCAACCGAAAGACGGCCGTTCCAAGTGAGCTCAGCGGTCGTCTCGTCCGCTAGGATATGCCCGGCTGTGATGTAGCGGTCCAAGTCGAACACCCTCGCGGAAACAGTCGGATTGGGGTAGCCTGGCTTGGGGTAACGCATGCGGACTTCGGACGTGTAGGGTTCAATGGCGCTGTTGTTCCACGACGAGGGGTTGTATACCGGGAAGACATATTCGGGTACTTCTGTCTCGTCGAATGTCAAGAAGGTGAGCTTGGCGCTGTCCGGGGACCACCAGAGGGCATAATCGGCGCTGAACACCTCTTCTTCATAAACCCAGTCGGGGACGCCGTGGAACAGTGTAGCATTGCCGGTCGAGGTAACACGAATAGGTGCGGCAATATCGGCAGGTGACCGCACGACGTAGAGATCGTTAGACTGGACATAGGCGATGCTTTCGCCGGTTGGGGACCAAGTTGCATATGCTACGGTCGGTGGGTTGGTGGGAGCTGTGAGGGGCACAGTTTGGCCCGTTCCCAGATTGTGGATGTAGTAGTTGCCGAAGCTGGAGTGCCTCCATTGCTATTAAGCGGTAGGTTAGTTGAAGCTGTTGCGTCAAACGCTATGAGGCATTGGTCGTACCTTCAGATAGTTGGTCTTGACGAGGATATACCTCATATCTGCGGAGAGCTTCCAATCGGACCACTCAAATGGCTCGCCGGCTTCCTGGCCACCACTTAGTCAAGTGAGATTGAGCTTGGTCAAAGAAAGTACTTACATTCGTGACGTCAGCCGTATTAAGCAGTATCCGAGTTGTATTGGTATTCAAGTCCACAAGAAGGATGAATCCTTCGGCGTATGTCGAGTATACACCGTCTCCAGCTATGAAGAGCGTCGTCAGATTAATACGGCAAGTCCTACGATACAGATCATACATACCCTCAGGAACCCACGCAAGGCCCTGCCTTTCGGCGCTAAACGTCCCATTGAAGACGTGGTCCATGGTGATGTGCGCGGATCCATGCGGCGTTCGCACAGGGCCATGGTATGACAGTGCAGCGAATAGTCCGATAGTAGCAGCGACTGCTACGAGTGCAGCAAGAGTGATGATTAACTTGCGCACCGAAGCCCAGCGCTATAATTCCAAGTTCAACATCGCGTGCAGGATGTGGCTCCAGGCTCGTAACGCACCGCCTGTTCCTGTCCTCCAACATATAGTCCTAGATCTCCATTCTCCAGTGACTCTCGTGCTGCTTCAGCTATACGGGGTGAACGCGGCTTCTCAATCAACCCGTCCGCCTCGTCGTCCGAGTCTGGCGGGTCGAACGGCCCGTCGCCGTAGTACACCGTCGGCCGTTCGGGAACTTCATGTTCCTCTTGCGACAGAGGACTGTACGCTCGCGACGCCATCTAGTATTGTGGGTGCCCGTACTCGAACTCCGGTAGAGCTGGAGAGGGAGTGCTCGGGCCGGAGAACGTCGTGGACTGAGCCAAGCGGTGTCCCGACATATACAGCCCGAGCGTCGCGTCTCAGGCGTTCGGCACCGAGACTTGGACTGCGACCACCACCATCCCAAATATTGAACGCCTCTGTGCAGCTCTGTGCGCTCGCTCAGTCACGCAACTGCGTACAAAAATGAGCATGGGCAACCGACCTATTTGTCGGATGGCGTATGAGTGGTCTACTGGTCGCCATCCACTCCTCGTCCTAGATGCCGGGTGATGCATCTCAGGAGTTTGTCCTCCGTCAGCACTAGCCTCATATACTACCTGGCGATAGTCTCTTATCCCAGAAGTGTGCCGTTAGAGCGATAGACTGAGATCGTATTCGCCCCAAGCACACGCCGTGAATTGTGGCGACGACTTTAGCATCTGCGGCGATCTCGTTGTGCTATCATCACTCTGAACTTTGGCGACAAAGGGCGCCGGGCAAGAGTCGGATGGAGTGCGTCTCTTTACTCACATTGTGCCAGGTATAACTAACGCGGGCCTCTGCAACAGTGTATGATTATTACGAGGCAAAGGCTGCCAGACCAGTCTGCTCATTCGCGCACGCTACTCCGAACTAATCGGGATTGGATGATAGACCGACAATCTGCGGAGATACTGACCAAGATTAACCCAAACTATTCATCCTCGCTGACTGAAGTAGACATGCGCCTACGCCAGTCTGGGGTGGCTACTCGGGTAGTCGGGGTTAATCGGTCGCTGTAGTCTGGTTGTATTGCAGCGACCTCGCGGCTACACTTCCGTTTGCGGCGGCGTATCCGCTGACGGGTGTGCATCCGGTTTTGGAATACCGTATATCAAGAGCGTTGCCAGTGACAAGTCATCTAAACGCAGTCTACCGAAGATCTGGTCTCAGCATGTCTGGCTACAAGAACTTCGCTGTGGTAGGCGCCGGCAACATCGGCGCTTCGATCATCGAAGAGCTACTCAAAACAAAGTCGACTGGTAAAGTTGACAAGGTCGTCGTTCTCTCGCGCCCGGTACGTGACCGATACTCAACTGGCGACAAGAAGCATCACTAACAGAACTCGTAGGAATCGGCCGCCAAACTCGATGCCTTCAAGGCGCGCGGCGCCACCGTCGTGCCTATCGCAAACTACTCTTCTGTGCCGGACGTCGCCAAGGCGCTCACCGGAATCGACGTCGTGATCGCTACGCTCACGCACGAAGCGCTCCCTCTTCAAGTCCCCATCGCTGAAGCAGCCAAATCCGTCGGCGTCCAGCTCTTCGTTCCTTCTGAGTTTGGTATGCCCACGGACAACGCGACCGAGGGCTTGCTTGCCGGCAAGAACGAGGCGAACAAAAAGATCCAGGCGCTAGGACTTACTACGGCTTTGTTCTTCACTGGTAGCTGGACGGACTTCATCTGGATCCCCGCCCTCACTCTGGATATCAAGAGTGGGAGCGTTGGAGTGGGTGGCGATGGCAACGCGAAGAACTCGTTCACTTCACGGTCGGATATCGGGCGCTTTATGGCGTATGTGCTCACTACGCTTCCATGTCAGGAGTTGAAGAACAGGATCTTTCGTATTGAGGGCGAGCGGACGGTAGGCGTATTCCTCTGATCCTCCGACTCATTCCGTGTTGATTCCGTTATATCAGTCCTTCAACGAGATCTTCGCGGCTTATGAGAGAAAGCACGGCACGAAGCTTCAGATCAAGTATACGTCGCCCGCGGAACTCGAAGCGAAGTTCAAGGAGAACCCGCATGAGAACTTTGGGAGCATTTTACATGCTGCCTTGGCGGCTGGACGTGGCGTCGTTGGATCTCCTCTCGATAATGACACGTATCCTGACTGGAACCCAAAGCCTGTGATACATTATATTTGATCGCATGCGCATCTGTATCGTATCGAATTGCATCCCTGCTGTCATGGATGCCGCGTAATCGCTCTTCGAGGGATTCGAAGTAAGGATGCTGCTGCGTCCGGAGCGCCTTGCAGCTTGAAGAACGCATGCGCCGTACAGCTGACAGAGGACTCTGAGCTTCAGCTGGTGGAACGATCGCATGCACTTCCTAAAGGGCGCCCAGTACCCGCCTGCGTGATCCTCCGGAACTTGATAGCTTCGCGGTGCGGGTACTGCTATGCACATTGAGTTTGACTGTCAGATTCGAGGACAGAAAGGTCGTGTATTGCGCTACATGTAACAGGGTATATGGGTTTCATACATAAAGAGCGCCAGCCAAGAAGCGTGTACATAGTGGGTCCAAACAAGCTTGCCCAATTGGGCTAGTCCCAAGGGCGACACGGATATAGTAGTTGCAGGTATGTGCAACGAGTTGTAGAGCGCGAATGCGGGCCGTTATCGGCGTGCGCGAGTCCATATCGGTCTCAGTCCAACAGTAACCCAGATAAGTATATCACAGTATGGATCTGGAAGCCCATGAGCCGGAAAGGCGTGGTCAGACGTCGAAGTGGACGTGTCGTTCTCTGAGGGGGCGCGAATGCGAGCCCAAGGGGCAAGAAGAGAGGTGGCGGGCGAGGAGGGAAGAAGAGCAACGGTAAGCCTCGCCTGAAGAGGAAGAACGCGTCACTCACGAGGACGCGTGGTCGTCGAGAACGAGCCGCGCGCGCTCGACGCCGTTCTCGGGTGTGAGCCAGACGAGGCCCTTGAAGTAGCACTTCTTCCCAAGGTAGTCGATACGCCTCACTCCTCCCCGCCGAACCTCAAACTCTGCCGGGGCGTACGCCTTGTACCGGCGCGTGTACGCTCGTGAGACCTCGACCTCCTGCGAAGGTGTCAGCCGCGCCCATTCGTCGTGCGTGATTTGCGTTTGCAGGCCCGCGTGAATCGCATGCAGCACGTCGCCAACTGTGATGCATCCCACCGCCGGGCGCTCAGGACGGCTCGGCGTGATCGTCGTGCCGACAAGGGAAATGTCGATTGGCCACTGCGGGATCGCGTCGCAGATGATCCGGAGGCGAACCAGCGCCGGGCTCGTCGCGGGCGCATCACGATCGGAAGAGGGAAGAGTGTGCCGATGATGGCGAAGGACGAGATGATATGCGCTCAAATCCGCCTCAACGTGCGCACTAGAGCCGAGAGTGCCTGTGCCATCGAGCAGTGCATGCAGCATCGGGTTTGGAAGTGCGCGAGGCGAATTGTAGTATGAAGAGTATGGCGTCAAGTAGGGGCTCGGCGGGTACGGCCACGGGCTGGAGGGAGGATACATGCCATGGGAAGCATCGAATGAGTGGCGGCGGGCTCGAGGATCAGGGTGTGGGTAGACAGGGCCTAAACCAGGACTGGGTGGACCAGAAAGGCCGGGGAGCGGGACTGTGTTGGCTGGCGGTGAAGGGATGAAGATGCTCGCTGGTGCCGGTGTCGGGTAAGAGGACGAGTACCGATGGCGGCGGCTTGACGTGTCAGTCGGGGGAGGAGTGACGATCCATCCCGGCGTCAGGTAGTAGTTAGGTGGGATCGGATAAGACATCGTGATCTGCTGTCGTTCGGTCGAAGTGCTAGTTGATGTAGGGCGCTGTGGGTGAGCGGTAGGGTAATCGACATGTCAAGTGTACTGACAGTGCCTTATATACTCGGACGAAGTTTGAACGGAGTCAGGGAAGGAAGGCGAACCACAATTCCAATGGCAGGCTGTGAGAGTCGCATCCTGTGCTACCGACGCCGAGCTCGATGTGCAAGGCGCGAAAGAGCGAAAGGGCACACAACGTCCAAAAGCACTGCAATGTATGGAGAATGAGATAATTGACACGCGAGGCCGCAGGCACCGACGCTTTTGATGGCGGTGCGATTGCAATGGGCACAACAACAACACCGCATCAACAGCCTAGACGCCGAAGTAATTGCATCCACCCCGGGCCACCAAACTGCGCGAGTCTTCTCCAGCAGGTGGTATGGCTGTGCAAGCTATAATCGCGATGCATATCGGAGACCCAGGAGGCCAGCCGGCCTCGAGGCTATGAACGACGGACGAGAGCCGCACGCTACGAAACGGAACGCACAATGGCCCGCTAAATGGGTTAATTGACAAAACGGGCATCTGATGGTAACTGCACATCCAGCGGTAGAGCCCATGTGCGTTCACGACATCTGCTAAGCGTATAGGGATGTATCATGCTCGCATACCCACGTCAGCGTTGCACTAGAATCGTATTGCGCCTAACGACCAGCGCGAGTTTCAAGGGGCCTCCGGCCGTCTAGCGCCTTCTACTCCTCCAACGGCTACTGTGCACTACAGCCGGGGATCTACATCTATCGCTCTTCGTCTTCACCAAGCTCGTCTGAAGTTTCAGATATCGCGCCGAAGTTATCCACGGTGGTCCAGATACTCGCGCCGAGTTCTCTTGCTTCGTCCTGCTCGATCCCAAGAGCCTGCCAGTCGACCTTATACCGCGCGCAGTCGTCGACGAATGACGCGTATCGCCCTAATAGTTTCGGCAAGCCATCCTTCCGTACGCCTAAAGAAGACACAATGGGAACTGTGCGCGGTTGTGTCAAGATTCCGCGAGGCGTTCGTCGAGAGCGTTTGTTGAGATGCGGTGCATTAAAGAAGTACGGGAAGGAGGTCGGCAGCGGGTACTCAATAGGAGCAGCAAAGCTGTGCGCACAGAGTTTAAACAAGTCAGCATCATGGCAGGGATCAGGCATGAGGGGATCAACAGTACCTGGCAATCGGCAGTGTTCCGCTGTACATCACGGACCGCTCCGCGTCATCTGCGCGTCGGGGACCTCGGATGACGTCTCGGCGGAATAGCCAGACGTCGCTATGTGTCTGCATGCGCGAGTTCAAGGCGTCTATCGCTTGACAAAGCAGTACAATGCACACCTTCACTACACCACTATCCCTGAACCAAGTAAAGTTCTGTCGTCTTTGCTCAAGGACTGCGCTGGAGTCTACGGCCGGCAAAACGCCGCTCAGCTCCGCGAACGGGGTGTTTCCATAGACATTCAGCTTCGAGCACAGTTCCAGTAAGCCGGTCGATTCAGCTTTGAGCCTTCCAAGCGCCATGAGCGATGCCTGTAGCTACACAGGACTCTGACCATGACAGTACCTCAGCGGTAGCGTGCTTGACTCGATATGGGCGGAAAGAATAGCGGATGTTTCGTAGATGCGATCTGTCTGGAGCGAGACGCTGAGCCGCACAGTTGCGCAATTCATAACCGAGTACTCACATATAAGTGTATGTCCTCAGGCCAAGACCCGCAAGACCATGTAGACGGGTTCTGTAGAGGTACACTGGTGACATCAGACTCGGCTAGCGCATGCAATAACCGTGCATCATTGAGAGCTCTTCGAGTCTTGCGCAGCTATACAACATGTCAGGGATATACGCCGGCTGTCCCAAGCAAAAGCTGTAAAGTACATCGCCTGTAGCAGCCACTCCAGGAGAAACACCGCTGAGTATGGGGAAGCCTAGTATGGGTGTTCTCGGATATTCGTCGCGGAGCGTGTCCAACATAGCAACGGAGAATGGCCCGAATGAAGCCGTGTCGGCGGTGAGCGAGATGCCCTGTGCTGGTTCAGCAGTCGAAGGCACAAAAACTAGTTCGGAACCCTACTTGAAATGCGTCGCACTCCTCCACAAAGAGTCGGAATGAGTCCTCGATGAGTGAGTGCTCCTAAAATAGTCTCCATACAAGCTTCCCCAATGACTTGATGCTTAGGCGGCCACTCACAGCATCATAACGTTCAAATGCGGTCTTCCCCTCCAGCCAATCTTCGTCCGAGTTCTCGAAGTCCAGAGCATCGGGCAATTGGTGTAGAGACCGAGGGAGGTAGTACACACGACTGAAGTCGGACCAGTAACGGACCTCACTCGCGCGCAGGATCGGGGCTTGAAGTTGACCATCTCGGGTTTCAGCGCCAGCTTCACCACGGGCATCAGCAGGATCTTCTACAATCTCCTCGTCCAAGTGTTTCTGGTACACGCTCGTGGAAATAGATGGCTGCCGCAGCTCATCCACATTGCCAGACCTTGAGAATCTCAGCTACTTCTATAACGCGAGATACGGATTGGCCATACCAGAGTTCAGGGTCCGCACCGGGCCCGTCGGTCTCGTCACCGTATAGGCCACTGTCTTTCGAAAGAGAGCCAAAATTGGCTGTGACATACATGGTGTCAGCCACGTATCGCAATTCAAAGACGCATTCAAACCTTTTCGGTCGAGTACTAGTACCCTGGGGCAGAATGTGGCTTCGCCCTACGAACCTGAGCCATCTATATCGGTATGAGGTGCGAGATGATCTGCATGCTCACACCGGGAGAGATCCCCTCTCGGAATGAGATGTCATGATCGACCAGCACCTCGTCTCCTTCTTCATACGAGAAGTAGCATTGCTGAGCGTTCCAAAAATGAGTTCCGACGTGATTTGCCAAGGATCCGACTTGAATGTAGATAATTTCTTTCATCTTGACTGCGGTCCTCGGTGTTCACAGGGAGTACAAGCAGATATAAGGAGATAGTCGCTTGTGTGTACCTTACACCGCAGGCCACACAAAGGCCACAAAAAGATCAGAGCCAGTGATCGGTGTTTGGAACAAGACGAAGACCTGCAGTACCCGGAAGAGTCATGACCACGTGGGACGGATCACGGAGTGGCATTCGCCGAGCGCCACCGTGACAAGCGCGTCACCCCGCCCAATTCCCACTTTGGCCTTCGCCACCATCACCGCTTTGTCCTTCAAAGGCACTCTCTCAGTGCAAAGTGTTCTAGCTAGAACATTTGGGAAAGCATGCGCGTGACACTACGCGACGTTGAGGTTTCTGTACGCTGCGAAGGCCGGGAACTCCCCATCCACGGCTTAGAATCGTCGGACGAAGCTGCTCTCACCGCATATATCCCAAGCGAAAGCAATAAGGTAGTTTCTGGACGAACCACGATTCCTCCTTAACACATCTGACTCGCGCTCTAACCAGTCATTCACCATACTCGTCAAAAACTCCACAAGTAACGATATCTCTTGCCGTGTCTTTGCCGATGGTCAACAAGTCCGCTCTCACGCCGTACGCCGCGGGGATACATTCCACTGTGATGGTGCACGAGTCTCCGGTAGCGCCATAGTACCTCTAAAGTTTGCAGACCTTCAACTAGTTGGTATGCATCATCGATGATGTCCCCGAGTCAGTAACCTCAAGCAACACCCCAGATGAAGACAGTGAGGTGCCAACTGCAGCCGACTCCAACCAGATTGGAGAAGTACGGGTCGTTTTCTGTCGTTTGGGACCAAAGACCGGGTTGCGATCAGCTCCTTTTGGTAGTAAAGTTGCCCTCGGCAGTACAGCCGTTTCGGAAAGAAACAAGAAAGCTGGCGCTCACAGAGTCTCGTCCGTTTCTGAACTCGCTCGTAAAGATCATTGTCTGATGCTTTCTACGAGGCTAGACTAGACTACGCTTCTCAAAGGACAAGAAAATATCAGGCGACAAATCGTGACCGTATCGATCGTCTAGACGCGCCCTACGCTGTCTTCCGCTTCACTTATATGCCTGAAGGTTCCTGAATTTCTTTGGATCATCAAATACCTTCATCGCTAACAACATGATAGCCTTACTCAGAGCCCGGGATATTATTCCTCGTCGGGGTTCAACCGTCGGCGCGCCGCGTCCAAGTTCACGTCCTGGAAAACGTGCGCCAGATGACGATCACTCGGCACCGCCCATCAAACGGGAGCGTCGTACTGTGAGTGTCTCCGTTTACTTCAGCAACAGACACCTGACGATTTTCATGTTGTTCAGGATGCATTAGCGCATGTGGGCGGTCGGTCCGTTGACATCAAGCCGGATGCTGGAGTGCTTGACTTGACGAACTTCGACGACGAACCCATCATGAAGGTCAAGCGCGAACGTGGTCCTGTTCCGCCGATTGTCCCAGGTGAAGTCATAGACTTGACTTGATTGACACCTCAAGCAAGAGCACCGCGGCTCTGAATATGCTATATTTCCAATCTGGTACGCGTCTGAGCGTACGTCTCCGGGCTTTCATCGTTGCTACGGCCATTTACAGCTCTTCGTCTTCCGGCTCATTAGCTTACATGTATCGCGAATAGTTGAAGTTTCAAGTTTCATAGCTTATACCGCAGCATCACTCGTCCAGCGTCACTGCAATGGTGCTATAATAACTATCCACCATAGCGGCCCCAGCTTGACCTTCCCGCCCATTGCCATGCTCGGCCGATCCAAGGTCGGCCCGGTGGCTCTGTATTCTTAGGTTCTGGTTCAGGTGCAGCCAAGGGAATGACGAAACGGCGCTCGTTGTCCTCGCGTATCGCGCGTACTTCCGGCGCCAGACGTTCGACCAAGTTAACAAGCTTGCTCTCTGCCCATCGGAATATCATGCTCTCCCGCTCCCACACGCCAGTGGTCCATACAGCAAGCGGCCCAGAGACTGGTTTCTCGCCTTTCTCCAGATCAAGAACAGAGCTCCCGGCGGGTGAAGACGTAGATGACAGCCTGAGCCTGTGAGAGATGCGGGTGAAGGCAGTCGGAGGCTGACCCAGGCGTTTTGCGAGCACGGTATCCGTGAATATACGGTCTCCAACAACAATTAGGTCTTGCGGAGCGAGAGGAGCTGGCAAAGATGCGAAGTACGCGCGAATATCGTTCGCGGCGGAGTACGAGGGTTTCATGGCTCGGTGGCGCAGTACAGGCGCGCGAAGGTGCCATGAGACGGACTCTGCCTAGCGTCGATTTCAGTGACCGAGCCAATTAAAAGGAGGTTACAGCACGGACCTGGAATTCACCTGGGTCCAAAGTAGAGCCAGCGGAGTTGGATACGATGAGCACATTGTCAGGGCCGAATGTCTTCAGGCATTCATCCCAGGCATCCTGCGAATATGTGAGTGGGTTGGACAACTAGCGCGGCCAAGACATACCTTGAGTTCTGGTACTAGCGCGTCTTTGTGGGGAACGGTCTATGACGGATGTCATTCAGTTGGATGATAGCCAGTCAGTTCGTTTTACACACCAGACAATTATCCTTGTCGAATACAGCTCCACGGTACCCAGCACTTCGCAAAGCGGCAAAGTCAAGCCTGCGGATATCTTACTACACGAATAAGCGTTAATATTTTAAAGAATCACAATGACATCCAGTTTCACCTGTCACCGATAGATGGGGATGTAATAGGCGTGGGTTGAAGAGCGCATAGAGGGGAACAAGTGTGCCAGGGAGGTTGAATGGCATGACCGCCGCAGGCAAGGAGGCTCAAGCGCGACTCCGGCTCGAACACCCTGATTTACTAGTTACAAAAACGCACCCCGAGAATATAGCGGATACACGCACCCTGAAAATAACTCGAAACAGAACCTGGCTCATGAACAACGGTGAGCTTCAGACCTGGAGCATGGACTAAAAGAATCAAAAAGATCCTTCGAACCGGGATCGAACCAGTGACCTCGGGATGCCAGGATATCCAATTACAGTCCCACGCTCTTCCAACTGAGCTATCGAAGGCTGTTTGCAGTGCTCATATTGCTTATCATATCAGTATGCTCATGTCCTACTCAGGGCGGAGAGTCCTGAGCCTCGCCTCGCCTCTTACCATCATCGAGAACAAATATCATCCGCGTCTATGATCATCGCACTTGTATTCCGTCATGCTACCTGCTTCGAAGAATAGGCTGGTGCCGACTCGGCAGTCGGATGATGTGGACACGCGATCGCTTCCTCCATGCTTGTCTACCTGTTATCAATCCTCACGCGCGTATCTATGCCGCCGCCGGGAAACCCTTAGCCAGCCCATGCTGTAATCATGCGACCATTGCGTCCGCGTGCGTTCTCGTGGGTCAGAGATGCGTCCTTTGGGAAGCCTCGGACGCTCGCCGGTACTCCCCGTGTTTCATCGAAGATGCGTACTCGAGGTTGGTTCCGCAACCCGCTATGTAGAATACGAATGACGGAGTCCTTATTATAGCTCTTCCCGACTAGCCCACAACTTATAAGGACTCGTGGCTAAACGTACGCAAATACGTGCATTGGGGCATAGGACCAGACTGTCGTGTGCACACGATTCGCAACCTATCGAACGTCTCCGTTCGATAGCTGTAGACGAACTTGGATCCCATACTGTAACATGCAGTCGTCATATGCTTCTCGAACTTGTGGACGCTTGCTGCAATCTCAATACCTTGGACGTCGTGCCAAGGTCTGCCATGCTACCATGACTGTAGGCCACGATGTTCACGCGGAGAAGCGCGGATGAACTCTCCCTCGCTCCGCATGGTAGCATGCCTATCTCGACAGGAGGCGGAGAGAGGTCTCGTGTGCCCTTCTAGCTCGTGCTCCTCGTTTGAACCGCTCGTGTTCGCTCTCTGCTCTCAAGCCCGGTGGCCCATATGGTACCAGTCATTGAGAGCAAACTTCTTTCCCCGCTTGGTTGTACTGGGTCGTACCGACTTATCCGAAGTCGCGGGCCCGAGCTCACCAGGCGCCGACTCTTCGTGCCACAGAATAGCTTTGCGTCCCTTGCGCGCTCGGCGGCATGCCGCTCGGCTGTATAAAGGCCTTGAAGTACAACCCAGGGTTGACAAGCTGCACGCTTCTGAATCCTGAGATCGAGACAGTTATGGCCATCCTATCACTAGCACGTCTCCTTGCGGCCCTCGTACTGGCCCTTGTAGTCGGTGCTGCGCCGGCTTCGCAGGATCTTGAGGAGCGCAAGTCTGACTCGGCCAGTGTTGTCCCTAGTGCGCCCAGGTGAGCGCTTTGCCAAACCTCCATGCTGTTGTATGTATATCTAACCAGTGATCGTAGGTTCGTCATTTACAGCGATCAGTGGGTATCAGGCGAGAATGGACCACCGGCTGCATCCGCAGTGAAGGTAAGCCGCGCATTCAGAAACGTGATCTAGATAGTGCCAGGCTGATGTCTCATAGGGCTTCAACGTCTTGTGCGTAATCCCATACCATCGTTTCTCTACCTTACCTACGCGAATACAGCGCATTATCCTTCCTCCTCTTGAGTGGCCCAGCCGACCAGGCTCTTGAATGGACGCTCATAACAGCGAGCCAGCGCGCAGCAATCAAGGCCCAGTATGCCGCTGCCGGCATCTCGCTCGTGAGCTCGACGGTTTCTCAAGGAGACACCTTTCTTGACCTTTTGGTAAAAGGTTGTCAGCGTCTTCGGATCAACGGATGCACCCACGTCATCCAATGCGGACCCAGTTGCCACCGCCAACACCATCGCGGCTTGGGTGAAGGTGAGGGGATGACAGGAGACTCATGTGGTATGAGTCTGATTCTTTGTGCAGGAGTACTCACTTGATGGGGTCGATGTCGGTAAGTCCGTTTTACTTTGATCGCGTGGGATCGCTGACTAACAGCCCCGTTAGATTACGAGGTGGGTCTCTTGATGGATGCCCCGGGGAGGACTAATTACTCAATAATTGCAGGACTTCAATGCTTTCGACGCAACTACCGGCGCTGCCGAGGCTTGGCTCGAGTCTTTCACTCGCCAGCTCCGGTCACAATTGCCATCAGGACAGTACATCATTACCCACGCTCGTGAGTATTCTCTTCATGACTATCCGATACGCACTGAACAGCATGCATAGCCGTCGCGCCCTGGTTCGAGCCAAACGTATGGTCTGGTGGAGGCTACCTTGCCATCGACAAGGCGGTCGGAAGCATGATCGACTGGGTAAGCTATTGCGAGCTCTGAGTACATGTGTTCGGCTAATCTTGACGCTCTCGTTCAGTACAACATCCAGTTCTACAACCGTCAGTAGCCCATCGCAGTATCTCGTCCGAGATCCACTCGCTGAAATCTTGATCAGAGGGTACTTCTGAGTACACGACCTGCGCCGGACTACTGACTTCATCGGGTGGCGCATGGCCTCAAACGTCCCTGTTTGAGATAGCAGCCAGCGGAGTTTCGCTCAACAAGCTTGTGAGTCCGAGGATCGTCTCCTCGAGATGCTCTTCTTACTTGCCGCCTCGGTAGGTTATCGGGAAGCCTGCAACTGCGGGTGATGCTTCCAATGGCTATATTGCGCCTGCCACCCTGGCCGGCTGCGTCTCCCAAGCCAAAGCGAAGGGCTGGTCGTACGTGCATCTTCATGCACATCTTCTCCTTCACACGCTGATAGGGTGCAGGGCCGGGGTCATGACCTGGGAATACCCGGACGCGGCGGCTTCTTGGATCTCAACAGTGCGGGCGCAGTCTTGGCCTGTCTGAGCCTCGTTTTCCGCTACCATTTCTTACTTGGGCTTCGTTCGTCGTATCATCTCTTTGGTCTTCCTTTGGGGATACATATGGGATACAGCATTGGTAAATGATATGGAGACTGTGGTACACATAAACATAGTTCGGGATGTACAAGCCGTATATACGAGCCGTTTACAAGACAGATACGAGATACATGACATGCCTCATCAAGCCCACATCGCCCTGAACTTCTCTTCGAAGTCTTTGACCACGTCGTTGAAGACCTCCAGCACGCGCCAATCACGGTCCGATACACCCGGAGGACGCGCGCCAACTCCACCTGTAGTCGGCTCGTCATCTTCCATAAGCTCGGTGGCATCGTACGTTTGATAGCCACTGTCGACGTCCGTCTCGGCATCCTCCTCTACGTTGCCCTTCGGGCCATGAACGATGAGGTTCTCGAGATCGCCTCGAATCGCCTTGATGGTCATGTCGAAGTCGTTGAGAACGTACCACCGGTCACCGGGCCGGATGCCGTTGGCCCGAACGAGCGTATCTGACTGCCCGTTCAGGAAGAAGTCTAGCAGGTATGCGTTCAGCTTGTTCGAATGCTCATCCTGTGGCACGAGTGCGTCAACTGAGGGGATGGCATGCTCGTTGAGATGTAATCCCCTTCGAACTGTGTTCGCCAGCTCGGATACAGTCCTGAATTGGTCCACGTGGCCCGAGTTCGCAACGAACATCGAGCGAGCCGCGGGACGAAGGGAGGACGCGGCAAGATGCTCTGTGAAAGGGCGTCCTACTGGAGGCGAGCCAGAGATCTCGACGTGACTGAGTGGGAGCCGGGCATCGGAGCCGAGGGTCCTGTCGTGTTGCTTCGCGAACGTCACAGCATACGCGGTGAAGATGGCCAAAATCTGCTGCTGGTGCTGCAGAAGTACGTCGCGTGCCCCGCGTTGCATGTCGGGCAGAACGATCATGGACGGGTACTTCGATCGCAACTCACTGAGCACATCCTTCGAGGCGAATGCTGATGGGATGTGCCGACGGCCGAAGAGGTGCGCCAGCAGCAGCATGACGGCGCGGCGCGCTTGGTCGCCACCGGGAGCGCAAAGATCGTGCAGTACACCACGCTGCAGCAAGACGACGAGGGCAAGGTTGCTGGGCTCGGTGTAGTACAAGTGGGAGGCCACCCCGAACAAGTTCACTGGCTGACCGCTCGCGCTGAGGAGCTGCGTGCGCCGCAGATAGTCGATCGAGAAGCGGACGTGGTGCAAGAGCTGGACGCGGCCGACGTCGGAACCGAAACTGATCTGCGGGAGGCGCAGGATACTCCGGATAGCCGTGCGAGCGTAGTCCGACTCCTTTGATCCATGGAGCAGGTTGAAGAGGCGGAGCGCAAGTGTCGAAGAAAGGGGGAAGGTACCCGTTAACCGCGGGAGTTTGGACAACATCAGGCGATGTATGCGATCCAGCGGAAGGCCGTAGAAGACAACCTTTCCGAGTGTATCGTATCCACGCCGACCAGCACGACCAGCACATTGACGATACTGGGTGTGTACGTTAGCCGTTTATAGTTCTCAGCGTGAGAGGTGCCTGCTCTTACCATGAGCGCCGTCAGATAGGGCGAGTCTCCGCAAAAGACAGAAGTGCGCGTCGGAGCGTTGATACCAAGTGCGAGGGTACCTGGTGCGTTGTCACATTAGCCTACACGTTCATGCCTCTAGATGTTGCAGAACTCACCAGTAGCAATCACGACAGTAAGAAATCGCAGGCGAAAGAGTCTGACAGCAGAATTAGACGGGCATGTGGCGCAGTCACAACAGGGGCGCACCGTTCTACCAGGTTACGATATCCCTTATTCATTCCAGAATGATGTACTGCGATCCCGCGGCGCAAGGCGTCGTACGCCCACTCCGGGATACTGGTGGACCACCGCAAAGAATCGATCTCCTTCTCGAGATCTGCCAGAGAAAACGCGGTCTGGCTGCCTACGAAGGAGTACTCCTCTGAGGGCTGACTCTCGTCGAAAGTACTCTCCCACGACCTGTCCTCCGCAGTGCGGGCTTCTTCCTCAAGCGACGTTTTCTTCGCACCGCGCAGGCGTTCAGCGCGACGCTGCCTCTCCTTTTCCGCAGCCTGCCAGATGCGAACCTTCTCGAGCTTGCGCTTCCATTCAGGGCTTTCCTCGCGCCATTTACTCTCGGCGACTTCGAGCGTCTGACAGAGGAACCGGGCCATCATCTCGCAATCCGACCGGTCGAAGTTGAACAGAAGGGCAGGCTATGGGAGACTCGGTAAGATACACTAGACAGGATACGAGGAACGGCACACACCAGATCTCCGGTACTCTTCAGGTCGGTCAGCAAGTGTATCAGACCCGCTCGCAGGAGTAGATTGTTTGGCGGGGTGTTCAGGACATCGGTATTCGCAGCGGCCAGTGTTGGCGCAGATAGATCGTCGACGATCGCTTTGAGTCCCGAGGTCGACTCCTGCACATTCGATGTTGCCAAAAGCGGCTTCAATGCGTCTTTAAGTGCAGCCTCATAACGGAGGACATCCTTTTGTGCAAGGAGCGTAGACGGAGTGAAGAACGTGACCGGATCCAGGGATGACGCGTCCAGCCCCGCCACCGACTGCGAGACCTTGACGAGCGCCTTATACGTATCCAGGGCGTCTACGGACTCGAGCGCGAGATCGGGAGGAAGTACTGCTGAGCCGAAGCTGAGTGCTGTGAGCGGATGGATGAACGACATGATTCCAGTAGACGTGGGTTTATCCAACCCCTTGAAGGTCTGCATGATGCCGACGGTCAGCAGTCGGTAGATTTGGAGCAGAGAGAGATATTTACGGGCTTGCGATCTTGGAGTAGTTGTGGGAAATAGGCGAACTTGCGCAGATGCGAGTAGCGGTGCGGATGCAACACAAGCTCGTGATCGTAGCCCTTGGCTGTTTGAACGCTTTGCAACCAGCCTGGATGGGCATCGTCAGAAAGTGTCTGTCTTGGTATGCAGAGGATTCTTACTGTTGAATGACTCGGGCTCGCCGACAGTAGCGGAAAGACCGCTACATCATCGTCAGCAAGCGCAGAGACCCTGAGGCACAGTGCTCAAACTTACATGATGGGACACGGAGCGAGAAGCAAGACCTGCTCCCAGATCGATCCTCCTTCGTGTTGACCGATAGTATGAATCTCATCAAGGATGATTCTTCGAAGGCGATCATCAATCGGATACACCGCCTTGAGAGCTACAACAGACAGCTTACCGCTTGATGCGCGGTGTCCACACGCGTGCCAAAGGTGGGGACAGTAGCATGATGGCCAGCATCTCGGGCACGGTCACTAATATCTGACACTTCTGAGGGTCATGAATGCGGTAATCGCGCGTATGAATGGCCCAGCACGATCCTGGAGACATGATCAGGTCCATACACAATCCAGAGTCCATTGCAAAACTCACCGCTATTCAAGTCCTTGCTGAAGCGGGCGTAGACCTCGGCTGCAACTTGGTTGACGAGCGCCTTGGTTGGCGAGACGTAGACTAGAATCCCGTCATCCGACTCCCTGAGCAACTTTTCCATCGCATAGAAAGAGATGAAGGTCTTTCCCGCACTTGTCGGTGCTGCACCAATGTTCGTCAGTCCTCCAAAGGCCGACCACCATGCGCAAGATACGTACCAACGACGAGCAGAGAGCAGTTCTCCCGGTCGATGCAGTCCAGCACGCGACGCTGCCAAGCATCCGGTTGAAAGGAGACACGCGGATCGGGCTGACTGTCCATTGATCGATCCATATACTCGCCGAACAGTCGTAGCTGCCAGACGACGGGCTCCTCCGTGATGTGCATGAACTTGTGTACGGGCTTGCCGCTCGAGCGCTTGACCAACTTCGTGAATTTGAAGCTGAGTGGACGCGCATCGCCAATCGCAGTTGACGGGCGCATCGTCGCGTCCAACGTCGGTATAAGATCGGTGAAGCCGAGCGCCGTCAAGGCGTCGTGGAGCACAGGAAGTGCAGAAAGGTGCTCGTGCACATTCTTGTACATGTCCTTTACGCGCCGCAGGATGGCGACGGTATATCGATCCCGTGCAATGTCCGAATCGGCAGCAGGATCGGTGATCCACAAGACAGTCTCAAGGTCCAAGCGGTAGAGCGCAAACTCGACGCCGAGCCATCCGGCACGTGTGCGCTCGTTGCGGGATAGTCGTTCCATGAGCTCGACCCTCTCGACGGCGTTCGCGAGCGCGGAGAGCTTCTCCCTCTGCTCTTTCCACCATACATCCGCCGCAGAGTCCGATTTGGCCTTGTCCGCCTCGGCTTTCTGCAAACGGATCTTGTCGGCTGAGCTCAACTTCGCTGCCTTAGACGAGGGCTTCTTCTGCTTGGGCGGCGGAGGCAGCTGCGTGTGTGTAAGGTGAGCTATGAATTAGAGTGAAGAACGATGTGCACTCACGCTCTTCTTCGGAGCGACTTTAGGCCTGTTACCAACGGGCGGTATAACTATCCTCTGCAACGAACCGCCCGCCGCGCCCGTGAGCGTAGCCGCAAGACTATGCATCCCCGCCATAAAGCGTTGCTCTCTTCGCAGTCTCTTCATCTGCTGCCACGCCGTCGACGTCTTCTCCGCCTCCCCGCCCTGATGCTTCGGCAGAATAGTCTTGCGATGCGCGTGCCAGTGCCTTGTGTCCTCGAAGACCTGGCCTTGGCTGAACTCAAGTGCGTCGAGTTCGGGCTCTTCGTCTTCGTCGACTGCTACGTGAACAGAGGCAAGCTCTTCGTCGAAGACTTCGTTATGGAAGGGGATAAGCCTGAACATGGGCTTGATTTGTCGATGAGGGGCAGTCGCGGGAGGGTTGGGATGTGCGGTCGAGAAGTCCATCGTGGGCGGGTCGCAGCCGAAAGCAGATTTCCAGATGGATGCAGCATCATCGAAGATGTCCTCCCCAACCAGATCTGGGAGAGACTTCGCGTTATTCTCGACGACAAAGCGAAGGAGCGCAACGAAGACACGTCCGTCGCAGTCCACGACATCCCGCTGCTCCAAGAGCACGCTCGTGAGGATGCCGAAGATATTGGGCAGGAATGTAGACGTGAGGTAGTGGACGAGCTCCTCGTTCAGGGCGTCGAGACCCCGAGCTCGGCGCCCGATGTCGATCTTCGGTAGGACAAGACAGTGTATCATGAAGATGAACAACAGTTGTGCAGAGAGGTCATCGGAGTCCTCGTTTGTGGGCGCAGCCTTCTGTATGAGCGTCACCAAGACGTCCTCGAACAAGGTCTCTTGCTCGGTATGCACACGCAGGCGATGACCGTGCGAATATTCGTTCAAATCGGAGGGTGTCATTATATCGAGGGCGTCTTCCGTAGCAGCGAGCAAAGATGGCGGAAAGATCGCATCGGGATTGTATCGTGGCTCGTAGACAAAGGAGAACACCTGGACGTGGATCAGGTTTCTGTTGCACATACGGCGGATGTATATCTGACATACCTTCAAGTCGATGAACTCAGAGCCCTTCAATAGAGTCACGGCGATACCCTCAGTAACGAGTAGGCGCATGACGAACATCCGCTGCACGAGAAGATAGCGGGCCTCGAAGCTGCCGAGGTCGTCGCCTGCTCCGCCATCGTTCGTCATGATGAACATAGGTCGGACGCGACGATGGTACTCCTTCCACTCTGGGTCGTCCAGGTTCTTGAAGACGTGCACTTCGAGCTTCATCGTGTCTTTGTATTTGACGAGGTGGTTGAATAGCATGGCGCGTGCGAGACCGCGAGAAGCCGTTGTGTATTGCGATGTGCCGCCTGAGATTGTCGGGTGTCGCAAATCTACGCAGTTGGAGGTCAGTTCCCTGCGGGATATGTACGCATGTCGATCCGCCGTACCATCGAAGAAGACGATATCGAACACCGCTTCGCGCTTGATCAAGTCATGTAGGAACTTCTCCAGAATGTACAACGCATGAAGGATTTGAAAGCTAGGATCTACAGACCGTTCAGCTTCAAGCAACTCAGAAGATGGGAGTTGCGGCAGCGTACCTCCTTCGCGACCTAGAGCCAGGAGTGTGTCGTCGAGTACACGTTGGAAGAGCGCCTCGCCTGTGAAAAGCCGATACACTATCAGTGTCGGTGCCACACAACAAAGCTCCCGAACTACTCGCCATCAAGTATGAACCTCTCAGAGCCGGCATAGTCTCCGATCAAGTCCATCCATCTCCCGCGCTTCGCGATGGAGCGATAGTACTTCTCATCCACGAACTTGACGGCGGCCTCTGCGCCGAGTGAGGGCTGCGTCTTTTCATCGTTGACACGGTCCGCCGACGCGAGGATGGGCGCGCCGTCATCGAACTCGTCCTCCATGGTGGATGGGGCGAGATTTTGTAGGCCTCTGACGGCCTTGGGCTTGACAGTGCCGGGAGATGGTGGTTGGGTTCAAGCCTCAGACTCGACGTCTACCAAGAGACATACGAGGCTTCGGAGCGTCAGATCGCGATGCGGGGCGCAGGGGTCTCTTCTACGCGTCGCCTTCGGCGAAAGTTTGCTCGCCTCGTGGTGTAGGGGTTCTGCGAGTGGAAAGAGCGTCGTCCGTATCGCGGGCGCCTACAAGCGCGCCACAGATGGCACGAGGCTCGAGCATGGTGGAGGTTCGAAGCAACGAACGTTGCTACTTGGACTTTCTCTGGCACCCGAGCTGCTGCATGCAGGCGGCGACAGCTCGGGACAACATGAAGGGCGAAATCAAGTTCCCTGCCACTTGTACGACAACACTCACTCTTGCGTCTGCAGCAGCAGCTTCAACGCGCTTCCTTGGCTTGCTTTCATCATATTTATATGTATTATGAGGGTGAACTATTGCAACCGAGAATCAAGTGTTGTACAAGAGGCATGCGAACAAGTCATGAGCGACAAAACAAACACGGGCGTCGTGCTATGCAAGTCCGATCCAGGGCCGCGGGGCAATGCGCGCAAAACGGGATACCATCCCCCACCGAGTCTAACCACAGTCAATCTAACCAACGACCCCCGCAAACTCAATCTGAGCGCGTGTAGTTGTTGAAGATGAGCAGGTTGATCGTGTCCTTCGGGATCTCGGTCAAGAGGTCCTTAGACGAGAGACCGACGAGCGCGGCCTTGAGCTCGGGCGGGCTGAGCGTCTTGTACTCGCCGGGTGCAGCACCGCTCGAAGCGCCGATCATCGATGGCGGCGGGAGGAAGCGCGAGGCCCACGACGGCATGACGCTGAACGCGGTCTCGTACATGCCTGACCAAGAGCTCATGGGGGCCTGCGCGGAGTACGCCTCAGGAACGAGGTCGCCGACGACGGGGTCGAAGGTCTTGTGCGGATAGATGGAGAGGAGGTAGGCGAGCATGCCAGCGGTGTGCGGGGATGCCATCGACGTGCCCGAGATGGTGTTCACAGCGGTGTTCGAGCCGATCCAGGTCGAGAGGATGTTGAGGCCGGGAGCGAAGACGTCGACGCAAGGACCGAAGTTGGAGAAGTACGCGCGCTCATCACCGAGCGTCGAGGCGCCGACAGTGACGGCCTTCTCGGCGGCGGCGGGCGAGTAATTGCATGCGTCACGGTTGTCGTTACCAGCAGCGACGGCGAAGTGGAGGCCATCGTCGACGGCACCGTTGACGGCGATGTCGAGAGCGGGGGACTTGCCACCGCCGAGGGACATGTTGGCGACGGAGCCCTTGTGCTTGGTCTTGCCGGTGGCCTTGAACTCGGCGCGGGCGGCGGCGTCCTTCTTCTGTGCCTCGCTGGCGGCGAAGTCGACACCAGAAATGACGTCGGCCATGGTACCGGAGCCGTTCGAGCCGAGGACCTTGACAGCAATCACGTTCGCCTTCTTGGCGACACCGTAGCGCTTAGAGGCAATGGTACCCGCGCAGTGGGTTCCGTGGCCATTGTTGTCAATGTCCTGGTCATTCCTGGGAACGGTCTTTCCCCAAGAGGCACGGCCCTCAAACTCGTCGTGATGGATGTTGATGCCGGTGTCGATGACGTATACGTCAACGCCCTCGCCACCGAGCGGCTCGTACTCGTACTTGGTAAAGGTGCTGAAGGACAGCTTGGGGCGGTGGCTGACGCGGGCGAGACCCTATAATGGGAAATGACGCGTCAGCGCTGCTATCGGTCACGCGATAAGACGCGGTCGTTCGAACTCACCCAGGGCGCCGACTTCTGTACGTCCTGCGTCTCCATGTCCTGTGTGCGGACAATCTGGTCACGCTCGACAAAGTCGACCTCGGGCATGGAGCGGATGCGCTGGAGGACAGAGTCTGAGAACTTGCCGGCGTACCCGCGGAGGTTCGAGTTCCAGACGTGGCGGAGGCCAGAGTCGTCGCCAAGCAGCGGGTCCTCCTCGTGGGCCGACTGGAGGAAGTTGAAGTGGTTGTCGAACGCGGCGAGGGGCACGTCCTTCTTGAACATGATGATGTACGAGTTGTTGACCAGCCCGTGCGGCGCCTCGTGCTCGGCGACGTGGAGGGGCGCCAGGGCGAACGGGTAGCTCGACCGGGCCGCCGGGTTGGCGTGCGTCGAGAGCGGGGTGGCGGCTGCCGAGGCGGCGAGGGCCAGAGCGAGGAGTGGCGTCGAATAAGTCATCCTGGTCCGAGCTGCTAACTGGTGGCGGCTCGAGGCTGAGGTCGCCCTCCTGCGCCGGAGCCCCTGATAGGCGTCGCCCTTGTTTGATCCTGTTTGCGCTCGCACAGCCGGCCCGGTGACTCGGCTCCCTCCCTCTCTCAGGAAACCCCCATGGCATTCGCACCGCAGTATACACACATGTCAAGCTATACACTATTACTGGCAAAGCTCCAGACCTTCGCTGTCGCCTCGCGCACAGAGGGCTGCAGTCGCGTGCGCGCGCGCCTGATAGGGGCATCCGCGTCTTCCTCAGACGAGGACCCGTCCAGCTCTTCTCCGGCAAAGTGACGCGAGCCGCTCACGCTCAGAAGCACCGACCGCAGCGGGTGAAAGGCGACCGCGCCGACAGCGTCTAAATAAGAAAGCTCAGCATCACTCGCAGGCCCGTCTCAAAGGAAGCTTGGACTCACCGTCGTGCGCTTCGTACACAAGCGCCGGGGGCGCCGTCCCGTCGGCGAACGCGGGCTCGTCCGTATCAAACACGGAGATGTGGCCTGTCTGCGCATGTCATCAGTAACCCCATATCCACGACAAGGATCCTTGATGAGAAGCCGAACCTGATCGCCGACGGCAAGCCACCTTCCGCCGAGGTCGACGTCGAAGAGCATCTTCTGGTTCGTGTCGGGCATGGGTCGGTCATCCCGATCGAAGACCTGTACAGGCACGGATGTATCGCCTCGCAAGTCCCAGCTGTAAATCCCCCTCTGTCTGCGGTAGGACGAGTACAGGATGTGTGGTTTCATGGGGTTGAATTTGAGCTGCATGACGCTTGCGCGAACGTTGCCTATCCACCCCACAGCATGTGTTGGAACGTCCTCGTTATAGAGTGCGATGTTAGACGAGGCGCTTGAAGGAAGCGACAGCGATCCAGCCGCAAAGAAGTTGTACGCCGGATCGTACGAGGGACAAAACGCAATGGACGAGATGATCCCCTTTAGCCCGTCTTTGCTTTTCTTCGACGGTGTCGTGGCCAGTCGCGTTCCCTCTCCGGGTGCAGCGACGTCGAATACCTCAATAGCGTCTTCAAAGCCACAGTAGAGCCTATACACATAGGTCAGTATACGAGCTACGCCTACAGCAAGCGAGGTCACTGACTTGTCTCCAGCAATATTGAACGCCAAGCTGTGCGGCGCGATCTGCCGTTCTCGATGGTCGACGATGCGGTACGAGGCGCGGAGGCGTCCGGTCGCCGCGTCCAGAAGCCGCACAGGTGCCTCGCGCACTGAAGCTACGAAGCAGAACGTTGCAGGGTCCTGCTGTGTGGCACGAGGGTACCACGCAAAGTCGACGATAGACTCGGCTTGCCGTAGAATGGGCTTGAGAGACGCATTTTGCGTGTATCCCTGTCTGAAGCTATTGGTCTTGGGTCTTGTGGCGTAGTAGAGAGGGAAGCATACATGTTTAGATACTGGAAGGTCCTGTCCTCGCAGTGAGCCAGAGCAGTAGAGCCATCCGGAGACCTTTCAACAGGTTCAATGCACACTGCAACTCGTCTAGAAACAGACATCCTACCACTTGGCAGTACGAGCAAAGTTACGAGGAAAGTCAGGATCCGGCACAAGCTCGGCACGAGCAGCCAGTTCAGGTTCTCGAGAAGTATCGTACTCTGGAGGCTGCCAGACAAGAGACTGGTCTACGTCAACAGTGTCCGAGCTCATGATGGCTTGGAGCAGATGCGAGACTGCGCGCTCCCCAAACCCGGCAGGTGTAGGATCTAGTTAATACGCACAAGGGATTCGTTAGTAGAACAGCCTTTGATTGAAAGCACCCGAAGCGGCACGATTACAGCTGTCCCTGGCAGGCAGGAATAGTGAGAATCGTCTGTAACGTTTGAAGAGTGTTCACAAGTAAAGTGCCACTGCGCGCGAGATGATGGCGTTGGTGAAGACACAGACGGCTTGCATTTCGCATGATCTCTACAGAACTTGGCTCACCTAGTTCACTTTTGGGCACACGCGACGCAAATGGCCTTCAGCAGCTTTAAGGTGGTGACTGTTCCTGTGAAAATACGCGGCAAGGGTCAATTCAGACAAAAACGCGTGGAAGAATTACTAATCCTTCGAACCGGGATCGAACCAGTGACCTCGGGATGCCAGGTTAACATTACAGTCCCACGCTCTTCCAACTGAGCTATCGAAGGCTGTGTGATATGGGACAATATAAAGCTATAATCGGCAAAATAATCAATCGCGTATGGCCGTCAGGTAAACCGACTTCCCGCTCCCACTCTCACTCTCACTTATGGTGGACTCGCCGAGATATCACAGACCCGTCCTAATACGGGTCTATATGGGAAGTACAACGACGCCCCTCCCAAAGCATTAAAACATTACAGCTATCGTTCGGACTGCTGCACTTCCAACACCGTCGTCTCCTCCTTCCTATCCGAGTCCCTCTCATCCTCCTCAACCGCCTGCTTCTCCACGTCCTTCTCCTTCGGCGGCGTCCGTACCACGGCTCGGTGCAGAGTGTACTTCTTCAGCGACAGCATGAGGATGAAGAACAGACAACAGATGGGCGTGTTCAAGATCCAGAGCGTGCTGATCGACTTCGAGTACGCGTGGAGGATCTGTGCTTTCAGCTCGGGCGGCGTGATGGTGTGCAGTGTCGTGACGCTCTCTGCAAGAGATGCGCTGCTGAGGCTTGCGGGGAAGTTCGCGATGGCGGCTGTGCGCGTTCGGGCTTCGGATGTCCAGATGGCTTGTCCGATGGATACGCCGACGGTTGAGCCCAGCATGCTGCGCTACATTCAGCACAGAATGATATTGGTGTGATGAGAGCCTCGTACCGCATCATGCCGAAGGTGCCTGTGCTCGTTGCCATATCTTTCGTCGACATCGCCGCTTGAAGGGCGATAAGTGGGACCGGGTAGAGCGAGCCCATTCCAAGTCCCGCGATGAGCGTATAGACTTCTTGTTGCGCTCTACAGACTAGGTTCAGGAGGCTGCCTGTCGAGCGCAGTGAAAGCACTCACAGTGAAGTCGTATTGTCAAGCATAATCATGAGTCCGTATCCCAGGGCGCACAGAGCCTGGCAAGATCCGCGTCAGTGAAGGAACTCGTCTGTAGATATACAAAATCTCTCACCCAGGATACCCATATGATAGGGCGATAGTCGCCCAGGATTGCAAGAACATAGCCAATCCCAGCGGAAAGAGCCGACAGCGTCAAGGCATACGGCAGGACGAGCTCGCCAGCTCGTGTCGCGGATGCCCCCAAGACCTGGAAGTACAGGGGAAGGTAGAATGCCGCGGTGTAGTAGCAGAACGAGTGGAAGAAGGCGCCGGTGAGCAGAAGTGCGGTCGTGCGTGTCCTGAAGAGACGGGGTGGTACGATTGGTGCTCGTTTGGTGTATGTCTCCCACCAGACAAAGGTGATAAGAGTGGCGCCACCAACAGCGAGTAGAGCAATTGTAGCAGGAGAACTCCCTATATCAGCGTGTAAGCGCCCGCTAAACAGTTTGATGAATCGTTGGCGCGAGCTCACATGAGGATTCACTCTCTAAGAACCCTAAGAGGATGGTGATTATGCCAGCGATAATGAGGAAGAGCCCGAAGAAGTCGAACTCGGCTATGTGCTCCCGTAGTGCTTTCCCTTGGCGAGGATTGAGATGTAAGAAGAAGAATAGCAGGCCGAACGCGATCCCGCCCGTAGGCAGATTGATCCAGAAGCTGAAGGTCAAGGTCAACGATGATCTGAGTTCGCATTGAAGAGGTCACCACTTACCACCAACGCCATGAGGCGTGGTCTGTCAATACCTATAGACGACCCTTACATCAGTATGCCGAGGAACGGACAATGTACTCCGTACGTACACCGCCAATTAGAGGGCCGATGATCCTGCCACTCGTTCAGCACACCTCCGCGATAGTCAGTGCAAAGAACGCGTACGAAGCGATACCCCACGTAGCACCAAGATATCCTAGATATTTGCCCCGCTGATCCAGAGGTGTAATATCGGCAACAATGATGTTGCACATCTGTATGATGGCTAGCGCTTGTCAGTCCAGGAGCGTTCCGTAAAGATTAGAAATCGGCTTACCGCCACCGCCAATGCCCTGCACTGCGCGAGCGACAATCAGCCATACCATGGTTTTTGCTGCACCACATAGTGCAGAACCGATCTGGAAGGATGATTCAGCAAAGAGTACACGTAGGGAAGGGCAATGTTACCAAGAAAATGACAATTGCCGGGTACAGCAATGCCTTGCGACCGAAGACGTCGGCGAGCTTGCCGTTGATTGACCCTAGGGTTGCAGCCGCAAGCAGATATGAGCTGAAGCACGTTTGTGAGGCAGTTCGGAAAGTTCACGGAAAGCGGCTCCGCTCTCACCTGCCGACCCAAGAGTACTGTTTTCCGCCACCTAATTGGGCGACGATTGTTGGGAGCGCGGTGGCGACGCTGTATTGACCAATACATCAGCGGTGAGGTCAGACGTCGTAAAGTTCAGCCCGCCCACATAGTCGAGTCTAATGCAGCCTGGCAGGTGACCGAGTCAGTACGCAACGAGCTGTCAGCCGCAGGCAAAATAGTTCACCAAAAATACAGTGAGAGTCAATGCACAGAAGACCAGAAACAAGTTATTATGCGGGATATGGTGTTCGTCGGCAGCCTTGTCAGCCTTCCCTACAGTTGGGATTTGGTCTGCGGGAGCCAAGGTAGTCGTATCATTTTGTTCTCCAGACCGCTTCTCCATGCTGCTCGAGATTGTCGACGCCATGACTCGTCCGAAGTTGGGAGCGAGGAGCAAGGAGAGGTCTCAAGTTTGACTGTGGGGGTTCCAGGCCTTATAGGTTCTCGACGAGATAAAGATCATCGTGCACGCGCATTCGGACCTGGAAAGTTTGGAAGACGATCGGCGCTGTCGTAAGTTGCAAAGCGGAGAGTGCGTCCGCATCTGCTGGCGAAGTGACTCCCTTCGAGCTGCCCGCCGGCACGACTTCTACACGTTCTCAAGCAGGAGCCCAGGTAGCCTTCGACTTTACGTTCGCCTCCAGTAGCTTTACTGGTATTCGTCCCGCCCATCGGCCAGCGAAGACCGCGTGTTGCTTCCGGAACCCGGTGGGTCAGGGCCGGGAGCCCGAAAGCCGACGACGAATGGTGTGAGGTGTGCGCGCCACATCGAGGCATATTATTTGCTGGCCCAGTCTGTTGTGTGCAAGTCGGTTGGGTGTGACCATGAGAAGTACGCCGGACTGACCTAGAAAAAAATGAGCTGAAAACCGAATGCGAAGTATTACTGTTCAATGGGTTCCGTCGCCCAGGACGGCAGGTACTGTAGGCCCGTTGACTCCCGGAGATATTACAGAAAGATGCAGTAGATCAGGCAGATCGTGCTACTCTTTACATGAACTGGTATGCGATTCGAGTAGGGTGCGTCTCTACGGGACTACATGGTGGTTGAAGCCGAGGACAACGGACAGCGCCGGCCATCAGTCCGAAGTCCGATCAGCCGTGTGCCACTCGCGTGCGCCGAATCCGGAGTTCCAGTCGAGGCGCCTTGTAGCTCTCCATTCAACTCTCGCCATTCGCGCGCCGTCATCTATGTCTGTTGGTAAAATGCATTGCAAAGCGCTCCTATCTACTGATCCAACAGTCCTTGGAGCACTCAAAGGTGTAAGTCCTGGCCCTGCATCAGGCCAAGGAAGTTACAACTTCGAGGAGCTCATTCACTTCGGTCGGATACAAGCTTGGCATAGGCTATCGCATTACAAGTACAAGGCGAAGTAGTTGCATACATGGAAGAGACGAAGTTCAGTTCAATGAGCCTGGATAAGAGCTCAGTATATGGTTGCAGATCGATGGAGATAGCCAAGCCCGAACACACCTTGACCTTGCGCGTAAAGTCGAAGATAGTCGAGTAGACGGCATCAGGATCCTCGTAGAATAACGCATGCCCAAGACCATCGAATATGCGAGCAGTGCAATTCGTGAAATGAGGCTTCATCTTGTTGATGAGCTCAGGGCCGTCCATCTGCTTGTCCTTCGAACCAGCGAGGATCAAGAGCGGCAAGCCCTCTTGGCCCCATGCAAACAAGGCGTTCTCATCTTGCGGACGACTGAGAACTCGCTGAGCGACGATTGGGTTCTGAGCCATGGAGATGCCAAGCCAGTACGTCTTGATCTCGTACGGGATTGAATCGGGGTTCGTGAAGACCGAGTTGGCAAAGTCGAATTTATTTTGGACATACTTCGTTACGTCGTCGTTCGTCCCCAGTAGGCCGGCCATGCTGAGCACGGCTGGCGTGCCCACCTCTTGCATGATCTTCCCGATATAGGGAAGACCGATGAGGTATACGACACCCGAGAGTGTATCGCGGGGAAGGTGCTTGGCTATATCGGCGACAACGGTGGCTGGGACGCTTTGAGTAAGTAGATGCCAACGGGCTTTGACGGGCGAACATACCTCCAAGACTCCTGATCAAGCCAGAAAAGTATGATCAGGCACTCAGTCCCCTCAGACGGACCCGTTGAACTTACCATCCTACAAAAATGGGCTTCTTGAGATCGAAGGCTCGAGCGACGGCCAGATAGTCCTCGGCGTATCTCTCTGACAAGTAATACTCCTCTGCTTCGGGTTTCCCGGAGCGTCCGTGACCCCGCATGTCATACCGGACCTGTGATACGTCATAAGCGCACGGTACGATAGAGAGCCAAGTAAACCGCACCAAGTAGAAGGACGAGATGTATCGCGCATCAGTGAAGAGGTTGTCGAAGACAGCACCGCTGAGGCTGAGTCCGTGCACGAAGACCACATGCGGCTTCGAAGGATCGCCAATCGCATCCGCGTGGATGGTGGTGCCATCTTTGGACGTAAGGCTCTTTACATTGGCGTTCGACATGTCGTGTTGATTGGGCTTCGTCGAAGGTATCGCAGGAGTCTTATATACGTTGCAAGCCGGATGTTTGCGATGCTGTGATATCCACGAGTTCGAGCGTTAGAGCTAAAGGCCGAGAGCTCCCTACGTTAAATTGGGGCGATGATACCCAAAGCCCGCAGCATCACTATCGCCGATATCGGCGGAGGCTGATCAGTGATATTCAACACAGCGCGATCGCTCATGGAGCTGCGGCTGGAGCACATGTAGCACTGCTTCCAGTAAGGAAGAGAATAGTAGATCGGAGGGGCGCCCACCGACCAAAAGCTCAAATACATACGGCGTGTCGACGCGGCGGGTATCTCGGACGGTTCACCCAAAGATATAGTTTGTCTCTGATACCAGATGGCATAAGGCGATAGGGTGAAATGGCTTCTGGCGCGAGGTACATGAGAAGAGAATGGATGGTGAGGCAAAGCCTGCAGATCACGACGATCAAAAAGGGTGGTGTACATTTTGCGCCTGCCAGCGGCAGCATAGTTTTAAGAGCCAAAAGGTATTTTGCCGCGTCGGCCCACAGGGTGGCATCAATAGGGAGGGACTACATGGTGGTCGGGGTTAACGCATGGACGCAATATTTGATCAACACTGACACGTGTCACGCCAAGCGCAGTCGTGACGCAGCGCTGGACGCGGTTCTGAGCTCGACGTTCGCCACGATTGCCTTAGTGCAACTTCACTTCACCGCTCACGCCCGCACGACGTCAACGAGTGTAATCTAAAGTCCTGTAAACCACAAATCCGCTGGAAAGGGTGCCAGGATGAATATCTTCAGGCTCTTCGGTGAGTACATCATCTGAATGTGAGCGGGGCGTACGTGGTTGACTTGGCGTGTTCTGCTCCCGCTAGGTGACCTTTCGCATCTGGCGTCTATCTTCATCCTCATACACAAGATACATACATCACGGTCATGTCGAGGTACGTCTCCTTGACTGTGCTGCTGAACGGGGCTCTAACATCGGGGATATAGGAATCTCACTCAAAACGCAGATACTCTACGTCGTTGTCTTCGTGACGCGGTATATCGACTTGCTGTTGGTCTTTAGAGGGGAATGGATCTCGTTCTACAACTTCTTCATGAAATTGTTCTTCATCGGCAGCAGCGGATACACTGTCTACCTCATGCGCTACCGCTTCCGGTACGCCACAGGTCGCATACATGACCGGATGCTGTCTGACCTTGAGTAGGCCCACAAATGACCCTTCAATCGACACGTTCAAAATGGAATACCTGCTTGGTCCGTGCGTGCTACTGGGCTTGATATTCAAGTACGAGTGGTCTGTCATGGAGGTCCTGTGGTCGTTTTCCATCTGGCTCGAGTCCGTCGCCATTCTGCCACAGCTCTTCATGCTCCAGCGGACTGGAGAGGCGGAGACCATCACCACGCACTATCTTGCTGCTCTTGGTGCATACCGTGCCCTCTACATTCCCAACTGGATCTACCGGTGAGTAAATGGGCCTGTGTGTACCGTTCGCGGTTCCTGACGTATATAAATAGCTACTGGTCAGACGGACACATCGACCCAATATCTATTGTCGCCGGCCTTGTGCAAACTGCACTCTATGTCGACTTCTTCCATGTATACTTTACCAAGTGCGTAGAACTCTCCTTGCACGTTACATGGAAATGAACTGACCACCACGACGTAGGGTTTTGCAAGGACAGAAGTTCGAGCTCCCCGCGTAACCCGGGTTCTCTGTCTATAGAACGGGGCGCTGGGTTCATACGGGAATGCGCGACTGGTCTGCGCGGCTGGAATGGGGTTGAAGGGTTGGACGCGCCCGGCGTACCGCAAGCGGGTTCAAGAGGACATTTGATACAGTATTATGTGTACCCGCGCGCCCGGAAAATAATGGCAGTCACACGACATCATCTAGCTTGTCCCCGCAGCTTGTCGCCGGCCGTGCTGCCGCAAACGTTATCGAGAATATGTACACGATATCGGCGTAGACGCGTACATCAGACGCGCAGACCGCCGCAGAGCAATTGAAGGCGCTCGGCAAGTTCCGCGTGCATCCGGGTGGCGCGGCACACGGCTTCACGTTCTCCCCTAACCACCAAGACGTTGCCGCTCCGCCTTAGCAGCCTCGTCTCGACGCCTTTCGGCCCATCTTGACGTTGACGGGGCGCCGAACCGTATGCACCTGACTTGTACTATGGAGTCAAGGCCGCACTGGCTTGCGGGGAATTCACATGGCATTGGGCGTCCCGCCGCCGATGAGACTTGTCTAGCGGGGCACCGACGCGGGGTAGGGGATGAGAATCATGCTCCTATATAGCCGAATCAACGTACTTCAGCCGCATTCATATACCGTGCGGGGTAAACGCTCTCCTGATCGCTCTTGCTACCCTTTGTTCTTGTCTGCACTGCTCTTTCGTCTTGCACGGATACCCACAGCCTGATAACGCCTTGCTCACGCTTTCGTGAATCCTCGCTTTCTTGAAACGCTATGTCGAGATCCGGTGACAAGAAGCCAGTCGGCTTCGGCACGCATATAGTCGCGGGTGGTCTGGCGGGTGCTGCAGAAGCAGTACGTGCTGTATACTTACTGTGATGGATACTATGCTCACAAGACGCCGCTCAGTTATGTTGCCAACCGCTCGACACTATCAAAGTACGAATGCAGCTCTCACGATCAGGTAGCGCACCAGGGGTACGTCTGCGTCTTCCCACCACCCGCTGCCTGCGCTCAACGTCAGTGTAGACCAAGCCCCGCGGTTTCTTCGCTACTGGCACCATGATTGTGCGTAGGGAGACACCTCTTGCCTTATATAAGGGTCTCGGTGCTGTCTTGTCCGGAATCGTGCCCAAAATGGCCATTCGATTTGCAAGTTTCGAGGCATACAAGAACGCACTGGCAGATAAGACCACCGGCAAAACGGCGACGGGCAATATCTTCCTCGGTACATACTTGCCGCCCCCTCGGAACGAGCAATTCACTCATACGCCTGTGCAGCTGGTCTCGGTGCAGGGACTACAGAAGCTATCTGCGTAGTGAACCCTATGGAAGTCGTGAAGATTCGTCTACAAGCGCAGATGCATTCACTGGCCGATCCGATGGAAACTCCTCGTTATCGTAACGCCGCACATTGCGCGTACACCATTGTTCGAGAAGAGGGATTTGGGGCCTTGTACCGCGGCGTAACGCTCACGGCGCTTAGACAAGCGACGAACCAGGGTACGTCCTGTCTTGCGTGCTGTTGCGGGTCCATAGCTCATGTGACCGTGTCCAGGCGCGAACTTTACCGTTTACCAGGAGTTGAAGAAGGTCGCACTCAGAGTACAGGATGTACCCGAGCTACCATCGTACCAAGCTATGGTCATCGGCCTCATCTCTGGGGCTATGGGCCCCTTCTCCAATGCACCCATCGACACTATCAAGACGCGTACGTACATCTCGCAGCGCCTTCTCTCCCTCTAGGATTCACCAATGGCTTTGTTACACGTAGGCTTACAAAAGGCGTCATTCGAGCCTGGCACGTCAGCCGCCTCCAAGATCGCCAGCATCGCACGCGATATGTGGGCAAGAGAAGGCGCACGGTCGTTCTACAAGGGTATCACACCCCGTGTACTCCGTGTCGCACCGGGTCAAGCCATCGTGTTCGCTGTGTACGAGCGCGTAAGGAGGGTGATTGAGCAGATGAACGCCGTCGATGCCGACGGGGATGTGTATAGCGAGTAGAGTGAACGATTGACTCTTTGCGCATGTCGGACTTTAGACGCATCTGCAGACTCTTGTACAACTAGATGTGTATCTGTCATACCTTATTCTTACCCATCGTCGAACACGGCGTGCATCCGGCGATGTCGAAAGCTATCCACTCGAGCGTGTCCGAGTCGCTGTTGTTTGGTAGAGGTCCTTGATGATTAGGGGTGCATCGGCACTCCGGCCACGGGCGCCGGAGGCAGCGGAATCTCTATGGCCCTCCTTATGAGCTCCGTGAGCGCATTCCGCGATCCGCGAAGGCTCTCTTTCCTCTTGCCCTCATCTTTCATCTGCTTAGACTGTACCAACATATTGCGCCGCATAGACTGTTAGAAGCCCGCGCCTACTACACTGCTATCTCCTCTGCGCCCGTCTAGTCGTGTAATATACTTGAGGACTAGCTTCCCTTTCGCCACAACTCTTAGATCGCACACTACCTGCCCGAGAAATCTGCATACGATGGCACAAAAGGCTCCTGCTACTAGCACCTCTCCGGCTGCGCCTGCGAAGAAAGTCCCCCGTGTTCTTGTCTTGCATGGGTGCGTTTTCCCGTCATCCTTTCAGCGTACCGGCGGCCAACCGTTCGAGTCAGATACACTCAGAACGCCAGCATCTTCGGCAAACGTGTACGCACTCCGGCCACTACCTCGTAGGTCTGTTGCCCATGCTTGTCTTGATATAGATTGGCGCGCTTCGCAAGACTTTTGGAAAGGATATTGAGCTCGGTACGTTCGTATGTCCGTCACTGCACTCTCAGTGCTCACAGAGACTCCAGTCATCGTGGATGCGCCTATAGTTCTGTACCCTGCTGATCTCGTTGAGACCTTTGGCCCATCCGCAGACTTATCGTCGCTTGGTGCAGGCGAAGCCAGTGCCGCGGCCGAAGACCCTAAACTCACGCCGCGCGGATGGTGGAAGACGAATCAAGATCGGACTAGCGCTGATGGGTTGGAGGACAGTGTGGCGTTCTTGAGGGACGTCCTGAAGGAGAAACACTTCGATGGTATCTTTGGTTTTAGGTACGAGGACTCCCTTGTTGTTCTCAGGTGTTGTTGCTGATGATCCGACAGTCAAGGTGCGGCGATGGCGGCCATGCTCACAGCCCTCCTCGAGAAGCCAGAGGTTCATCCGGATTTCCTCGTTGGCGGAAAGCCGCCCCACCCGCCAGTGTGAGTCCCGAAGTTCACTACCCAATGCTAGTCATCATACTGAAGACGGATGCTTTCAGCGACTTCTGTATCGCAGCCGCTGGCTTCAAACCTGTCGGCGCTTTCGCAGAGAAGGTCTTCGAGGGTGGATACTCTACGCCGACATTGCACATCATCGGGCGCACGGACATCATCATCACCGCAGAGAGGGCGCAAAGCCTTATAGATGTATCAAAGAGCGCGCGAGTCGAGGAACATGAAGGAGGTCATTTCCTTCCATCCAAAGCGAACTGGCGCAACTTTCTCAAGGCATACCTCCTTGACCCGCTTGGGAACATACCGAGTCCTAGTGCTGCGCCGTCGGGGACTGCGACGCCCGCGTCTGGTACCGCGACGCCTGCTGAGCCGGCTGTTGCATCTACCACGATCGCCGCTGCTGAGGGTGCTCCTGCAGCACAAGGCGACGTCAAGTCTTCCGCGCTATAGTAGTTTACAGTGTCTTCGGTAAAAATAATTCATACAATAGAAGACCACAAAAGAGAGTGATCGGGAACGGGAAAGAAAAAGCTCAGTGACTGATGGCGGGTGACCGAGATTGATGCGATGTGACATCGCGCTTCAGGTTTATGGGCCACCGCGTCGGGGTCGACTGTGCTCTGAACAACGCCGCCATGGACACCTGGGCACCGCAAGAAGCAGGTCTACAAGAGATCCTCGTGACCATACGCCAATCTACCACGGAGCACGACCGCACAGTTCAGTCCCAGGTCACCCACGTACGTTTCACCTATATTTGGGTGGAAATACCTGGGCGCTGACCACGAGCGTCTTATTCGCAGAAATTGAACAGCTTTACGCGCGCACCGGACTACATCGCTTACCTCGCGCACATCGTCGCTCAGGCCACGAGCGAGGATACTCAGATCCGAACCGTCGCCGCGTATTTGTTGAAGAATAACGCCAGACTTATTCTCAACGCCGCGCCCAACGTTCGCGACTACTGCAAGGCGGCGGTCATCCATGCCTTTTTGAACACGAACTCTATGCTTCGCACGGCTGCTGGCCAGGATATTGTCGCTTTCCTTGGTATCCTTGAGCCGCGTGGATGGCCCGAGTGCTTGATGCAACTTGTCGGCATGCTCGACGCACCTACAGAGGACGCCCAAGAGGTGAGCATCAGCGAATTTATCTTGTCTGTGAACCGATCGTCGATTGGATCGAGCTTTTGGGGTTCTTGTGGTCCCAGTCAGCTGCGACGATCTTCAACGGTGGGCAAGGGCGGAGGCCGGCCTTACCCCACACGCGTCTGCCGGGCGCTTAAAGAAACGAGGCGCGATTGTTCAACTGTCACTGCCGCGGCGAACTTCTCTGCCAAACCGTGAGACCGCATTACCACGCTATAGAGCTTTGCGCATGTGTGGCACCCATCAACTCTCATACTTCATGTCAATCTTTGGCGTCTCATATAAGGTGCTAATCCTACCATTCTAGGCAGCGTTTAGCGTTCTCGAGAAGGCCTGCGAGGATTACCCTCGCAAATTGGACGTCGAGATCAACGGTTCATTCCCGTTGAACTTCATGATACCCAAGTTCTTGGTTTTAACGGAGCACACGAGCGCCAAGATACGCGGACATGCCGTTGCTTGCCTGTCGTACTTCGTACCCACCGGGTCCGCTTCACTCACGGCGCACATCGATCAGTTTATTGCGTGCCTTTTCAAGCGCGCTGGTGACGAGGATGGGACCGTCCGCCGACATGTCTGTCAGGCGCTAGTTCTCTTACTCGCGAGCCGACCCGAGAAGCTGCTCCCGGAGCTACAGAACGTCGCGGAGTACATGCTCTACTCGACCCGCGATCGCAACGAACAAGTGGCGCTCGAAGCCTGCGAATTCTGGCTCACTTTTGCCGAGGACCCTGAACTCAGCCAATATCTCCACCCGCTCCTCCCCCGTGTTGCGCCGGTACTCCTTGACTGTATGGTCTACTCGGAGGACGACCTCCTCTGGCTGGACGGTGACGACGAAGACGCCGCTGTTCCGGACAGCGAACAGGATATCAAGCCCCGTCACTACGGCAGCGGGAAGTCGCACATTGCCGATCACGCTGAACAGCCGGGTGCCGACGGCGAGCGTCGCGTAGGTGCTTACGGAGAGGAGTTGCGCGGAAGTGGTCAGGACGATTTCGATGACGACGAGGATGATGATGAGTTTGACGACGAGGACCTCAGCACGGAATGGAACCTGCGCAAGTGCGCTGCCGCGGCCCTGGACGTCCTTGCTGTTCGCTTCGGCATCGATCTACTGAGCGTGCTTCTTGAGCCGTTGAAGACCAAGCTGTGGAATCAGGACTGGATGCAGCGCGAGAGTGCCATCCTTGCTCTGGGCGCTATCGCCGAAGGCTGCATTGAAGCTATCGAGCAGCACCTCCCGACCCTCGTCCCGTATCTCATCAACAGCCTGCAGGACCCGAAGCCTCTCGTTCGCTCGATCACATGCTGGACGCTCGGCCGCTACGCAAGTTGGTGTACCCAGGGAACGACGCAGGAGCACAAGGCGCAGTTCTTCGTGCCGACGATGGAAGGGCTGCTGCGCATGGTGCTTGACAACAATAAGCGCGTGCAGGAGGCTGGCTGCTCGGCGTTCGCCACCCTTGAGGAGGACGCAGGCCCGGAGCTTGTCCCGTACCTCGAGCCGGTACTCCGCAATCTTGTCTTCGCGTTCGAGAAGTATCAACACAAGAACATGTTGATATTGTACGACGCGGTCGGCACCCTCGCAGACGCTGTTGGAACTGCGCTCCAAAACCCGACATACGTCGATATCTTGATGCCCGCTCTCACGGGCAAGTGGGCGAAGCTCCGCGACGACGACATGGATCTCATCCCGTTGCTTGAGGTTGGTCCTGCTTTCGTGACTCGCGAAGCCTCGTACTGATCTACCAATAGTGCCTCGCAAGCGTGACGATCGCCATGGGCGATGCGTTTGCGCCCTATGCCGGACCGGTCTACGAGCGCTGCTTGAATCTCGCGCGCTCCTCCCTGATTGCGTATCAGGCCTACCAGCAGAACCCTGACCTGGACGAGCCCGATAGGACTTTCCTAGTCGTCGCGCTGGACCTTTTGTCGGGTCTGACGCAGGGACTCGGCATGCATCTCGCACCGCTCATTGCACGAGATGAGGCCGATTTCTTCCAGGTCCTGGTCTTATGCTTGAAGCACCCTCAGGCGCCCGTTCGCCAGAGCGCCTACGCTCTCGTCGGAGATCTTGCGATGACGACCTTCCCGATCTTGCGCCCGCACATGGCGGCCGTGATGGCGGAGCTCGTGCAGCAACTCGACCCCGAGCCTAAGCTCGAGTTTGTCAGTGCGTGCAACAACGCTGCTTGGTCCGTCGGTGAGGTCGCGCTCCGCTATGGTCGTGCCGACCCCGAGTTTGCGCAGTGGGTCCCCACACTTGTAGGACGGCTCGTTCCCATTTTGCTCCACCCCAAGGCTCCGCGATCACTACACGAGAACGCGGCAGTCAGCATCGGCCGCATCGGTCTCGTTCACCCCGAGATCGTCGCACCTCTTCTTCCCGAGTTCGCGCAGGCGTGGTGCCAGGCCCTGTACGAGATCAGGGATAACGAGGAAAAGGACAGCGCGTTCCGTGGTCTGTGCACACTGGTGCAGCATAATCCGGCCGGCATCACCAAGAGCCTGCTTTGGTTCTGCAACGCGATTGTGAGGTGGCAGGCGCCGAGCGTGGAACTCAACGAGATGTTCCGTGCATTACTGCAGGGTTTCAAAGCCCACGACGAGCAGGGATGGGCGGCGCAGGTTGCAAGTTTCCCCCCGGTCATCCAGGCACGCCTGGCGGAACGCTATTCCGTTTAATCTGTCCTCGACCACGTCCCGCTCGCTTGCTATCTTGTATGCCTGCCTGTTGTTGGACCGTGCTGTAATGAATGGTCTTTTCCGTCGAAATCCTTTGTCTCCTTGAATGAATTAGCTATCCCAATGTTTCTCTCAATATGTTTTACCCCTCCAATCTCACTCGCATGGCCATGATCGCTCCCATTCTTTACATAGTAGGTACAGCGTAGGATACAACGTAGGATACACACTCTTCTCGGTCTCTCATCTCTTGCATATTCAGTAGTAGTAGCTCAGACTCAGTACGTACACATACCACAGCCTCCTTCTCACGGACTTCGCCACTTAGTACCCCTACCCCCTACCCTGTCCCCCT